TTAAGCAGACTCCATGCTGAGCCCAGAGTCCATCACAGGGCTTGATCTCAAGACCCTGAGATCACAACCTCAGCTGAAACCAAGAGTCAGAGGCTTAACTGACTGTGCCACCCAGGTGCCCCTAAATCTGCAATTTTAAACCCCATCTATTTGACTCCAAAGCCCATGTGCTTTTCCATTCTCAAATTAACATTGAAACAAGCCATATTCTCAGCCAGGAAGATAAAAATACCTAGGTTTGAGTCCTGGCTCTGCTACTTAATTAGTTGTGGGATCTAATGCAAGTCATTAGTCCTCAAAGTCCTTTCCATCACTAAAACCTTATTTCTTACTTATACTCTGCCTGTGTTTCAGTAATTCCCAGCGAAGCTTTAATTCATTCCAGTATGGTTTCTGCCACCATTGTTCAACTGAAATCATTCTCACCACAGTTGCCAATCTCATCCTTATTCCTAAATGGATTGAACATGCAATGTTGTATCCTTCCCATATATCATGCTTTGTTTTATATTTCTTAATGCACTAAAGTACTATAGTTTTAGTTAACTCAGAAAAATCGCCTGAATGGCCATACTTACAGATTTCAGTTATATGTGGTGATGAACCAGTGAGACAAGTGAGAGAAGATTGAAGATATCACACACAAATTAATTTGAGATGGATCACAGACCTAAACATTAGGTCTACCAAATTTCTGGAAGAAAACATAGGAGAATAACTTCATGACCTTGTGGTAGGCAAGTATTTCTTAAAGAAACAAAGCACTAAAGATAAAAGAAAAAATTGATAAATTAGACTCCATCAAACTTAAAACGTTTTACCTACCAATGATGCTATGAATAAAATGAAAAGGCAACCAACAGAGTTGGTTTTCCAAGTGTCCTGTTCTTGGAGTGGGAGGTTACAGATAAGCAAAGGGAGGAAACTAGAATGATCTATGTGGTAGTGGATTACAATTGGAGACAGCATGAATTCATGATTAATTTAATATAGATACAGGTGGTTATGTATAGAAATATTTATAGATCTGGATATGCATACCTTAGTATAGAAACAGGTATATTTCTTCACTCTGTCAGCTGAAAGACTATCCAGTAGCAAGGAGCACATCTCATAACCAGATCCTGGTTTCTAGTACCATTCTCCAATAAAAGGAACCAAGTCTCCTTGGAGAAATGGCTGGTCCTAGTAGTGGGGCAGTGAAAATACAAGATAGGCTCAGAGCATCTTGTAGAGTCAGAAAGTAAGGAAGTACTAAAATAAATAAACAAAAACAAACAACAAACAGCAACAAAAAAGTCCCTCAATCATGAAGATATATTAAAATGACAGAGGAACAAACTGAAAAAGCTACCAATGGCCAAAGTTAGAACAATTTGAGCAACAAAATAAAGTAGTATTAGAGTATGACCCAAAGTGTAAAATAAATATCCATGGGGCGCCTGGGTGGCACAGTTGGTCAAGCATTTGACTCTTGGTTTCAGCCCAGGTCATGATCTCAGAGTCGTGAGATCAAGCCCCGTGATGGGCTCTGTGTTGGGTATGGAGCCTGCTTAAGATTCTCTCTCTTCTTTTCCCTCTGCCCCTCCCACTCATGCTCTCTCTCTCTAAAATAAATAAATAAATCTTTAAAATAAATATCCATGAGTCCTGATATAAATGATTAAATAAATAAGTAATAGAGAAGACACAAATCTCCCATGCAAACCATTCCAAATAGCTTATGTTCATAGTGTTTATCCTTAAGAAGATGGAACATAACCTCCCACTCCTTAAATGTAGGCTGTCCATAGTTATTTCCTTCCAAATGGAACAGTATGGAAAGGCGGAAAATTAGTACTTTTACAGTAGAGAATCCTGACAAACTACCTCAACCAAGTGGTTAAGCTTAACATTAACAGTGATAAGTCATGTTGATATTATGTACTTGATATGATATAATGGGAATGACACTTCACCTCTATGATCTTCCTCCCAAAAACCCATAACCCCAGTCTAACCATGGGGAAAATGTCAGACAAATTCCAACTGAGGGGCATTCTACAAAATATCTGATCAGTATTCCTCAAAATTGTCAGGTTTACCAAAAACAAGAAAAGGTCTGAAAAACTGTAACAGGGGGAAATGGATGTGGGGCTTATAGGAACTCTACTATTTTTATAATTTTTCTGTTAATCTGAAATCATCCTAAAAGTTTACTATTTAAAAAAACTCAACCAATAGCCTGGAAGAATATATTCAAAATACATCTATAATATGACAAAAGACTTATATCCAGAAGAGATAGAACTACTACAAATGAATACTTTAAAGACAACCAAATTTAACGGCTGAGGCACCCAGGCGCCCCCCGGGTCCTGGGATCGAGCCCCACATCTGGCTCCCTGCTCAGTGGGAAGCCTGCTTCTCCCTCTCCCACTCCCCCTGCTTGTGTTCCCTCTCACTGCGTCTCTCTCTGTCAAATAAATAAATAAAATCTTTAAAAAAATAAATAAAGACAACCAAATTTAAAACGATAACCCCCAATTTTAAAAACAGGCAAAAGGGGCGCCTGGGTTGCTCAGTCAGTTAAGCGTCTGCCTTCAGCTCAGGTCATGATCCCAGGGTCCTGGGATTGAGTCCTGCGTGGGCTCCTCGCTCAGCGGGGAGTCTGCTTCTCCGTCTGCCTCTCTACCTGTCTTGTGCTCTCTCTCTCTCTCCCAGATAAATAAATAAAATCTTAAAAAAAAAATCACTTAGCTGGTTTCTGTTCCCCCAGTTTTAAAAAAAAAACAAAAACGAACAAAGAAAACAGGCAAAAGATTTGAAGACATATTTCACAAAATGTAAAAATAGTCAATAAGTACATGAAAAACTGCTCTTCATCATTAGACATTGGGGAACTACAAAATTAAAACTCAATACCATTTCACACCTACTAGAGGTGTTTCAGGATTTCTTTTCCTGAAAAGAAATCTTTCCCATGGTTCTTGGTCATGCTGCTTTGAAGAATGAAGAGGTAGGCCAGGCAAAGAGTGGTGGGCAGCACAGTGAAGCTTATTGAATGATAGTACAAAGCTCCCCAAGAGGGAGGGGACCCAAAAGGGTTGCCACCAGACTTTCTAAGACGAGAGGTTTTTATGAGAATGTTGGAGGGCTGTTTTAATCTGATTAATGCTCCATACTCCTGTCACCCAACCAGGTTTTTGTCCACGCACCCATCTATTAGGTAGTTGTTCACGTGGGAAAAGGTGGAGGGCTCCTTCCAGTATGGTGTAAAATCCTTTTAAGGGTAGTTTCCTCTTGAGGGGAGAGGGGGCTTTGTCCCTGCCTGCCTTTCTCCTCCATTAGAGGGGTTAAAATTAGAATGATGACTCCAAATGTTAAGCAAGCATGTGGAACAACTGGGGCTCTTATACATCACAAGTGGGAGTGTAAAATGGTCCAGTCATTTTGGAAAACTGCTTATCAATTTCTTATAAAATTAAGCTTACCTTCAACGACCCAGATATTCCACACCTATATTTCCCCAAGAGAAATAAAACATGCCCACAAAAAGATTTGTACAAGAATGTTTATAGCAACTTTTTAAATAATAACTAAAAACTGGACCGATCTAAATGTCCATCAGTAGGTGAATGGGTAAGCAAAATTCAGTTGATCCTTACATTACAGGGGGCTAGGAGTTCCAACCCCCTTACAGCAGAAAATCTGAGTGTAACTTTTGACTCTCCCAAAACTTTACTAATTGCCAATTGTTGATAGGAAGCCTTACCAATAACATAAACAGCTGATTAACATATTTTGTACAGGTATTACATACTGTATTCTTACAAGAAAGTAAGCTAGAGAAAATGTTAAGAAAATCATAAAGAAGAGATAATACATTTACAGTACTGTATTTATTAAAAAAAAAAAAACAAAACTACGTAGAAAAGGACCCATGCAGTTCAAACCCATGTTGTTAATTATATACAGTTGAATTCTCTTTGACAATAAAAACAACTAAATGTTGATTCACTCACAATAGGGATGGATCTTGAAAACATGAAAGAAGGTGGGTGTGAAAGAATACCTACCACCTTTATTTTTATGATGATAGACATCAGAGGAGTGGTTGTCTAAAAGGTGGGAGATTGGAAAGGGGCTTGAAGGAACTCTTGGGTAGTGGTTACACAGCTTTTTACACTTAATAAAACTCATCAAATCTACACTAAAAAAGCTGTTTTTAAATTTTACTTCAATTAAAAAAAAATCGAGGGGAAAAAAAAAAGACTGGCTGGGTACCTGTGTGCCTCAGTCATTAAGCATCCAATTCTTGATCTCAGCACAAGTCTTGCTCTCAGGGTCCTGAATTCAAGCCCCACGCTGGCTACCCCCTGGGCGTGGAGCCTACTTAAAAACCAAACCAAGGGCGCCTGGGTGGCTCAGTCGTTAAGCGTCTGCCTTCGGCTCAGGTCATGATCCCAGGGTCCTGGGATCGAGCCCACATCGGGCTCCCTGCTCCGCGGGAAGCCTGCTTCTCCCTCTCCCGCTCCCCCTGCTTGTGTTCCCTCTCTCGCTGTGTCTCTCTCTGTCAAATAAATAAATAAAAAATCTTTAAAAAATAAAAATAAAATAAAAAAATAAAAACCAAACCAAACAAAACTGGCACCCTTGGAAAGTTGACACTAAACAATTAAAGGAGAAATTTGATGGGTTAATTCCTTCCTTTGAAACGTTGAGGAAAACAGTCCAATAAACTCTCTGATTTTTGTGACTAAATAGGGACATTAAAAAGCCCTGGAAACTCTCCGCTCCTTCTCAGTTATCTGGGGGCCTGGGAACAGGGGTGACTCGAACGCCAGTTACGCGAGCCCAGGCTCCGCCCCTCATCAATTGCAGACCCGCCCATTCATTCCACTCACACCCATCCTTTGAACCGTCCGTTCACCTTTCAATCAATTCAAATATCGCAAGGAGCAAACCAATCGCAAGCCTCTTCGAAGGGAAGAGGCGGGCATTTTCCCGGAAGTGTTGGTTAAAACCCCTCCAATCAGAGGCTCCGTGCGGGAAGTTTGAATTTTGCGGAGCTCTGGGTTGTAGGGGTTCCTGCTTCGGAGGCGGCAGTGGTTCTTCAGACCCAGAGGATTCCTTTACTTTTAGTTCTGTTGAGGTTTTACTCCAGAAGCTGCCTCAGGTAGGTGGGTGCTGCGGAGCTGGCGGGAGGGAGCTGGCCCGCTTTGTAGAAGTTCTGGAAGGGTCGGAGGACGGAGGCGGTGGGCTGGACGCAGGTCAGGGGAGTCTCCTCTAGGACCGTGTTACAAGTCCTTCCTGTAGCTGATGACGAGCCCTCCAGGAGAGTAAATATTTGTTGCCCTTGCCCATATAGTAGTCAGCGTTTCGCCACCGGGGCGTAATTAGCCTTTGGGGCGGGACAGTATTTAGTAGGTACTGCAAAGTATTGTTAGCCCCAACATTAAATTCCAGTAGCTCTTCTCAGATCCCGTGAAAACTGAAAACACCCCGGTTGAGAACTTCTAGACAAGCAAGACTAAGGCATTTCTAGATTTTCAAGCTGGAAGAAACTCCAGCAAATCAAGGAACAGAGCTTAGATATATGCGAAGAGCCAGGCTGCCTGACTTGGGATGCCAGCTCCACTACACTTTAGCTGTGCTAACGGGAGCAGTTAATTTCCCTCATCTGGATAATGGCAGTAAAACTATCTTTTAGGGTTTAAGTAATTATTAAATATCACGTTAGTGTTAGTTCTCTTTCTCCCTCACCTTCCTTTCTCTGCTGTGTATAATGCTATGCTGTATTTTAAAATAACTAATCATAAGTTTTATTTTTTCTTTAATATTCAGCAAATTAATACTTGGCAGGAGGTGACAAATCAAATAGTAGAGGAGGATTCTTGAAAAGCACAGTCCTTGGGTGCCTCCTGGCTCAGTCGGTCGAATGTGGGACTCTTGATCTCCCGGTAGCGGGTTAGGGTTAGGCGAGCAGCGAGCTTGAGGCCCAGGTTGGGTGTAGAGTTTACTTAAAAAACAAAAGAAAACAAAACACAGTCCTTTGTCACTTCCCCATGGCTCTTGAAGAAGAATCTTATTGGCATCCAAGTCATATGCATTCTCAATTTTAGCCTCTGTTGATTGCTTTAAATCATGTAACATTTTAATTTGTTGCATTTCTTATGCAGATTTTTCTTTTATCTGGAGTTTTCCGGCAGACTTTCTTAGTTATTCTTGTTGAAGAGCGTAGTGTGCTTATAATTTTTGTAACTTCCTAATGCCTCTAGTTTATATTCTGGACCGTAGCTTCCTGGGCTTCACGTCATCTGTCAAGGAAGTTTTGTTTGTTTATTTTTTTTTAAAGATTATTTATTTATTTGACAGAGAGAGACACAGCGAGAGAGGGAACACAAGCAGGGGGAGTGGGAGAGGGAGAAGCAGGCTTCCTGCTGAGCAGGGAGCCCGATGCGGGGCTCCATCCCAGGACCCTGGGATCATGACGTGAGCCGAAGGCAGAGGCTTAACGACTGAGCCACCCAGGCGCCCTGCAAATTCCTATTTAGAACTAAATAAAAAATTTGTTTTTCTTTTATAATTTCCTTCCCTCTCTTTAGTGTTACATACTTATTCCTTTTTTTTTTTTTTTTTGTATTTTAATGTTTTTATTTTCAAAGACTCTGAGATAGGACAGGAGTTGAATTGAAATCTTAATTTTTTAAATAATAAAAATCCATGGAAGTTGGTCTCTTTTTTCCTCTGATAGGATGTCTTCATCACATTTTGCCAGTCGACAAAGAAAGGATTTAAGTATTGACATGATTAGAACCAGAATTGCTCATAGAAAATCACTGTCTCAAAAAGAAAACAGACATAAGGAATATGAACGAAATAGACATTTTGGTTTGAAAGATGTCAACATTCCAACCTTGGAAAGTAGAATTCTTCTTGAATTAGATGAGACAGCTCAAAAGCTTGTTCCAGAAAAGGACAGTGTCAAGCCAAGTAAGTAAAGGTCTATTGTAACTTTAAATGCTTTGAAGAGTAAATAAAATTTGGTTTAATACCTGAGGTTATGAAAACCCTGAACAGAAGCATGGAGTTTTGAAACATCATTCCAGGTAACTTGGTATTTTCTACAACTAAATGCTATTTGTTTAAGGTAAAGGCTGTGCAAGTCCCTGGCTAGGCTAAAGCCATTCACCTATGGAGTATTATAACACTGTATTATCTATATTGCCTAATAGGAATCCTAAAGTTCTTACTTTTAGAGCTTGATAAGATAACTATTGACAAGAGAAATTGATAAGGGGCATTAAAAATAGAACTGATTGAAGAATCCAAGAACTAAGGATACCTTATCAATGGGAACGTTTCTCAGACGAGCAAAGAATTCACCCTTCCAATTTGCTAAAAGGACTTGTAGTCATTAGGAAGGAAAAAACCAATTAAAGAAGAAAGGAATGATCTCAGCAAAAGATAAAAATAAAAGTAGAGTGTCTTAGAAGGCAAGGGATGCTATAGACAAGTAGGAAGAGAATTGGGAAATGACTTTCAAATTTTGCCAAAAGGAATCACTGGACTCCTATTTAGTTGCATTTATATAACAGGCATTAGGAGCTGGATTGCAGTGAAATAAAGCAGGGATAAATGCTGAATAAATGACAGAGATAGTCTTTTTTAGAAGTTTTATAGAGAATGAAATGGGTTGCTAAGTTCTTTAACTCTCACTACTTCAATTTTATTTTTTTCCAGGACCAGTATAATATGTGGCACTTACAAGACACCCTATATATTTAAGCCTAATTAGTTCTGTAAATGAGAGTATTGGGCTAAAAGATTTCTTCTGGATTTATCATGTTTGTGATTCTAAAGGAAAGTGAGAGAAAAGAATTAGATAAAGTGTTATAGGATTTTGTTTTTGTTTTTGAGATGATGTGATCCATGCATGTTTGAAGGTCAGAGGAAATGGGCTGGTAGTTGAAGGGGAGAAAGTAAAGAGCAACATCTCTTACGAGTTGGGAGGAAATGAAAATGGGGTCATAGAATGAAAGAGGATGGCTTTTCAAGGAGTAACTAGACATTTTTTTGTCTGGGAAGCAGTTATGTTATGACTCCTAAGTCATCTCCTTGCCTCTTCTCTTGCCCTCTCAAATGCTCTACTCCTTGACCAAAATCTCAAAGTCTAACCTTTTCAGTATGCTATTAAAATATCTGGTTTATTTTCCATTTGCAAAGGACTAGAAGTGAGAGTGAGCCTGGTGTGTTCCGGAGAAAGCAAGTAGGCAAGCATGGCTAGAGAAGAATGAATAAGGGGTAGCTCCCATCCCTGGAGCCCTCAGGGGACATCGTAAGGACTTTGGCTTTTACTCTGAGTGAAATGAGAAGCCATTAAGGGATTAATAGGTGTTTATGTAAATTTGATTTATGTCTTAGAAGCATCACTTTGGCTGCTGTATTGTGAGTAGATTGTAGGGTGGCAAGCATGGCCTCAGGAAAACCCAAGTGGGAGACTATTGCAATAATTTAGTTGATGGCTGATTGAAGTGGTAGCATTAAAGATAGCTGGTTGCATTCTGGATATACTTAGAAGATTGGACCAATAGGATTTCCTAATGGATTGGATGTAGGGTTGATAAAGAAGAGTCAGGATGACTCCAAGGTTTTCGGCAGCACCACTCAGGACATAGTCTTGCCCCAAAAGTTGAGCTTGAGTCTAATCAAAACCTTAGATATAATTTCCAGTTGATAGAAAACATGAAGGCTAGAGGAATGAATAAAAAACGTGAGAAAGCAGACAAACAAATGTACAGTGCAGGACATTCTGTAAGACAACTGACTAGCTTTTTTCAGTAGGACCATAGCATGAGAAGTAGGGTGCCAATTGTGTTACAAATGAATACAGGTGTGACAAAGTACTGACGTTTCTGGGAGGACGTGGGTTGGTCAGAGATCTCTCTCTGGCTGGTTGTGTTTGGTCATAAGCAAATCTCTCTGTTTGTTCCAGTGTGGTATGTAAATATTATCTTTTACGTGTGTCACAACGTGAGCAAGGTTGAAATACTGGCATGGAAGGGAAGAAAGCCTAAGAACTGAGAAGCCCGGGTATTGGAGGGGTCATCAAGATTTATACAATGATAGTGACGGAGACAGTGACAGTGAGCTGGGAGCTAATGCCTTCAAGGGATGAGAGGAAACCTGGAGGGTCTATAGACGACAAACTGGGGTACTGGATAGTGTGATCTGATGACATGAAATGTAAAGGTGGGATCTTTTAGTGATGAGGAGGGAATCACTGGGAAGCAGCGATGAGGACACCTCTCCTCTTTAGGTCCAGTGATAGCACCATTGTGAGAGGAAAAAAACAGTCAACCATGGGAGAGGTTGGGGAGACTGTCTTCAGGGAGAGCCAGGTTTCAGTTAGATCAAGAGATGAAGAGAACATTTAGAGAAGAAGTTGAGGATACAGAGGTTTTGTCAGTTAACCATTTCAGCACCTGTGCTTTTGCATGTTCTGTTTTCTGGCTTTTTTTCTTTTTTAACAACTTTATTGAGGTGTAATTTACATGGCATAAAAAATCTACCCATTTTAAGTACATACTTCTTTTTTTAGTAAATTTACTTGGTTGGGTGGTTATCCTCCTGAATTATTTTTAATCCTTTCCCAGCAGGTAAACATAGACTCATTCTTCAGAACCTTTTTCAGGTATTCTCTTTTTGAGGAGCCTTTCCTGATCTTCCCACATGGAGATTTATTCTGATTCTCTATTGTGTGCATTCTATTTGTTTCATACTAAACCAGACTGAAACTGTTCATTTCACCAGGATGCTGTGAGCCCTTCAAGGGCAGAAATTCTCTTATTCCTACTGCCTAAGCATGTCTTGCACATAGCTCCTCATACTTCCCAAAACCAGTTAAAACAAACAGTATGTAGGTGGAAACCTAAGTTGAACTAAAGAAACTGACTGGTAGCCCTAATATTGGGGTATTTGTTAACCTAAAACTTGGTGGCCTAAAACAATAAACATTTATTATTGCACACAATTGTTGAGGGGCAGGAATTTGGGTGCAGCTTAAGTGGGTGGTTCTGGATGTTGCAGTCAAGATGTCGTCTGGGGATGCATCTGCAGACTTGACTCAGACTGGATGATCTGCTTCCAAGATGACTCATTCACATGACTGGCAAGTTGATGTCGGCTTTTGGCAGGAGGCCTTAGAACCTTGTCATGTAGACACCTTTTTAGGGCCATTCGAGTCCCCATAAGATTTTACAAGGCCACTGGCTTCCATCAGAGCAAGTGACCCAAGAGGGGGCAAGGCAAATGCTTTAGTGCCCTTAATGACCCAGTCTTGGGAGTCACACTCCATCATTTCTCAGTCCTTTGTTGGTTATCCAGGTCAGCCCTATTGAGTGTGGGCAGGGATGACACATGGGCATCATTGCCAGGAGGTGAGAATCATTGGTGTCAGCTTGGAGGTTGGCTCTCATACAAGCTCATTAATTCAAAAGTGAAGTAATACATGCTTAGTGTGTAGCAAGCAGTTAATAAATATTTGAAAAGACAGGCAAAAGAAATACAAATTTTAAAAGAATAGGGGTTGAAATAACTTGTGGTTAGAGTGCTAAGGAATTAACAAAAGTTACTGAAAGCATTTCTCAACAGCAGTTGAAGTTAGAAGTTAAGACATTTGCCTAACTTTTTTTCTGAAATGTATTATGTACTGTGGGTTTTTTCTGCCTAGGGTCAACGAAAACTGTTCTAGGTGATCAACGAAAGCAAATGCTCCAAAAATACAAAGAAGAAAAGCAGCTTCAGAAATTGAAAGAGCAGAGAGAGAAAGCTAAACGAGGAGTATTTAAAGTGGGTCTTTATAGACCTGATATGCCTTGTTTTCTGTTATCAAACCAGACTACTATGAAAGCTGAGCCAAAAAAGGTAAATTTACTATCCTAATTTGATATAGAGGAATAGTTCTTTTAACTGGAATTTTCTTTAAGAGATTAAATAACTAGAATAACCACTTCCCCTAACTCTCTTTATTAATTTAACTAGTTGGTAGGAGATGGGAATGACATAATAGTAACTCAGAAGATGAAAATCAGGTCTCTTGATGTAGTTTATAGATTCTTGAGATAGGAGAACAGTGGGCAGAAGTCAGGTTCCAGTGATTGACTGAGGAGGACTGGTCTGAGTGGCTAGAGTACTGAAACCCATCATAGAAGGGTGGGTGATCTAAAGAAAATGGTCAGTGAGTCAAGAAGGATGAAGTTTGAACCGGGGCAGTGGGATTTGTAACTTAGTCACTGGTGATTTGCTATTTTAAGATGTGTATAAAAGATCTTAGACTGTGTACTCATTCCTGATTTAATACAAATTGAATAATATAAAGGCTTATTGAATACTGCCTATTTTTCTGGGCGTCACGCATCTCATTGATTTATTTAAACAGATCTTTGATTATTTGATTATTATTTGTGTATGACCTTAGGATAAGGTGGAAGGGACTCAAAATTAATACAATAGTGTTCAGGTGGAATGATATAGATAAATATATTCTATATATTAGAGGAGGGAGAGATTATTTATGTTTGGAGGAACATCAAAGAAGACCTCTTAGAAGGGGTTAGATTTAAGCTGGCTTTTTGAGATAGGATACCAATCATTGGTCTAAACTATAGACAACTATTTAAAAATACGTTAAAAATATATGTAGGGGAAACAAATGGACAAAGGAAAAGAGAGAGACAAACAAATGAAGGAACAGACTCTTACCTCTAGAGAACAAACTGGTAGTGACCAGAGGAGAGGTGGGTGAGGGAAGGGGGTCAAACAGGTGATGGGGATTAAGGAGCACACTTGTCATGATGAGCACAAGATGATGTATGGAATTGTTGAATCACTATATTATATACCTGAAACTAATATAACACAGTATGTTAACTATGCTGGAAATAAAATTAAAAACTTAAAAAAATATTTATATTATAGTGTGTGTAGGGGGAACAAGAGACCCATCAAGGTGTTAAGTAATAAGATTCACCAATAAATGTTTTTTATTTTATTTAGATGGCCATTGTTGAATTCTGGTGGCCTTGCAATCTAGAGAAAAGCCTAATTTCTTTAGCACTAGATTTTCCCTGAGATTTGGAGAAGAAAATGACTTCTCATCTAGGGGAAAAATCTGATTATGTCTAAGACATTTTACATAGTTGATAAATATCTTGCCACTTTTTTTTTTTAAACATTTTATTTATTTATATATTTGAGAGAGAGAGAGAGAGAAACAGCATGAGAGGGGAGAGGGCAGAGGGAGAAGCAGGCTCCCCACTGAACCGGGAGCCTGATGCGGGACTCGATCCCAGGACTCCGGGATCATGACCTGAGCCGAAGGCAGTTGCTTAACCAACTGAGCCACCCAGGAGCCCCATCTTGCCACTTTTTAATCAGCCTTTCTCATGCTAGATTTTTTCCACATTTTGTGACCAAGTCTCCATTTTCTTATTGACTGTGGAGAAATGCATAATCATGAGACTTGAAGGTAAACTGTCAAAGCTGGGAGAGTAAGCTGTACAGTATCTTTTCATTAAACAGAAAACAAAAGATCCTAAAACTCTAGTCTGTTCATCTACCCCCTTCTAAATATGTCCAACTAATCATATTAATGAGGATTCAAATAACTGGAAAATATGGCTTGAAATTTCTTCTTTCAGCTCACTGAGAAGTAAGTTTTGAAGCTATTAATTTAAATGTAATTTAAGTCAAGCCAGAAGCAGAAAAAATAGGAATTCAAATTGGCAAGTATCTTTTTGCCATAAATGATCAAGGATAAAATTTCACTTTAAAATGGAAACTTTATGGTTAAGCGACTGCCTTCGGCTCAGGTCATGATCCTGGAGTCCCGGGATCGAGTCCCACATCGGGCTCCCTGCTCGGCGGGGAGTCTGCTTCTCCCTCTCCCGCTCCCACCTCTTGTGCTCTTTCTCTCTCTCACTCTCTCTCTCAAATAAATAAATAAAATCTTAAAAAAATAAATAAATAAAATAAAATGGAAACTTTATTTCATAAAGAGACATGAAATTAAACTTGTGCCAGTTCATTTTTTTTTTAACTTTGTTTTCTTTGACTGTTTTAAGGCTGTTCCATCTTCTGTACGGATTACAAGGTCAAAGGCCAAAGACCAAATGGAGCAGACTAAGGTATAGTTGACAGTTAGTAGGTAATTGTTACTAAGATGACAAATTGTACTTTTTTTCTCAGAGTAAATTAGTTTTTAATCTAATACCAGTTTTAAGTGTGGTGATTAATTTACTAGAGTTAATAGTACCAAAATCAATATTATTGGTATGGTGACATAAAATCATCTTGGCTACTAAGGAAATACTTAAAATATCTTTGCCTGACATCCCTTGTGAGATGTATGCTGAACCTTGCGTCACACTCTTTTGTTTACTGGGCTTCTGTTATGCATTCCATGTCATCATAAAATGTAGATAGGGATATAAAGCACATAGGGTGAGTGTTATAAATTTATGGGTCTTCAAAACACCATATGATTAAAATTATTAGGAAGATTACTAAAATAAAGTGATGTGGGCAAGGAAGAAAATAGTATGCCTGTTCATCAGGTGAGGAAGCTGAATTTCATGTATTCAATAACGTTTGAGTCACTACCACATTTCTCTCTAAGGTATGGTAGTGAACAAAATAAAAAAAAATTCCTCGTTTTCATTGAACTTACATGTGAGATAGGCAATTAAAAAAATAAGTATATAGTATGTCAGATGGTTGTAAGTATTACAGAGGTAAAAAAAAGAGTGAAGGGCGAAGGGGAGTACTAGAGTAGGTGTCAGGTGGAATTTTGATTGGGGTGGTCAAGCAGGGCCTCGCTGAGATGGTGGCATCTTAAGTGAAGTCTTTAAGGAGTGGAAGAGTGAACCATGGGAAAGTGCTTTCTCTCCAGGAGAAGTTTCTAGACCCAATTCAAAGGTCTTGAAGTGAAAACAAGCCTGGAATGTTTAAGGATTCTCAGAAGATTATAGTCAGCTATTTTTAATAGCTTAGGTTATTAGCATTTTCTAAAGTCTAGGATTCTAAAGCTGTGAGGAAGTTTATATAATGGAAAACTTTTTTCTTCATCTCATTTTATTTGGGGAAGTAGATTTTTTTGCCGGGTCATTTACAATAGTCAGATTTCAGATGAGGGGTCAATTTACAGAAAAAAAATGTGGCAGTAAGGAGGGCACGTATTGCATGGAGCACTGGGTGTTATACACAAACAATGAGTCATGAGCACTACATCAAAAACTAATGATGTACTGTATGGTGATTAACATAACATAATAATAAAAAAAGTGGCAATTTGAGTGCTTGCTTTGGCAGCACATATACTAAAATTGGAATGATCCAGAGAAGGTTAGCATGGCCCCTGCACAAGGATGACGCACAAATTCATGAAGTGTTCCATATCCGCCCCCCCACCGCCCTCCCTGCCACTGCCTCAGCTTTATGTTGTGTTTGTAGTTCTGTTGCCCCTCATTTATCCATTGCTATTTTTGTGATGTGTCCACCCTCCCCCACCATCTCCGCCTTTTGTAAGTGGCTCCTGGGGGATGGGGTCTGCTCAATCCTTCTCTTCCTCTTACTCCGCTCCACTTTGGAAGAAAGTGGGGGTGGCAGAGATAAGGTGGTGGGTGGTCTTTGTATGGTTGAATTAATAAAATGACTTGAAAACTAATCCCCCCCCCAAAAAAGTGGCGATTTGATTCATTATGCAATTAAATCACATAACACCTAATCTTTTAAATAGATGAATAACGGGAGTGATATTCGAGCAATCCGACCTGGTCAGAGACAAACTTCTGAAAGAAAAGTGTCGGACAAAGAGAAAAAAGGTAGGAATTTAACAATTATTTTATTATATATCTCATTATAAGCTCTGATGTTGCCACAACAGTAATAATTACAAAAAGCGTTTGATTATTTTTTCCCACAGTTGTACAGCCTGTAATGACCACATTGGTGAGAATGACTCGATCAGCCTCTCAAGCAGCAAAGCAGATTGCCAGAACAGTCTCCTCTACTACAACAGGAAAGCCAGACACAAGAGCTACCAATGGTAAGAACTATTTCTGACCAGTGACCGATCTAGAATGTTTTGGTCTTTGAGGTTTTTGTGTTCAGTTTTAAAAATCATCATGTAGGATTCTTAATAAGAGGCTAGGAAATAGGAGATTCCAGTTCCTAAGGTAGGTTCCATGCCTCAGCACCCACACACAGTGGATGCTCAAAGGTGGAAGTACCTGAATTGGTGTTAGCAGCACTTCAAAGAGAAAAATTAATGGCCCAAATAAATTACAGCCCATCCATTTGGCAACATATAATGTAAACATTGAAGAACAGTGTTGTGAAAGAACCTGATGTATTAAGTGGGCAAAGAATAACAGATGAAATTCTGACCAGTATGATCACAATCCTAAAATATGTATGTGAATATGTGAACCTAGGATAAAACTGGAAAAACATACCCTAAAGTGACAACCGTGATTTTTACTGAGTAATGTAATCTTGGGTCCTTTTTTAAAATATTGTGGTTTTTGTGCTTTTCTTTATTTTCCTAATTTTCTATAACAAATATGTATTTGATAGTCAGAGGCAAGGTGTTAACCTTGGTTTTGTTTTGAAAACAGATGGCCTATACTTGGCAGGAAGTTGCATCTATTTTTATCTCGTTTTATAATATGACTCTTAATCAAAAAATCCTTTAAGATATACATTCCTTTTGTTGCCTTTTTTCCTTTTCCAAATTACCTAGTACTTTACAAGCAGCATTTTCCATCTAGTCAAAATGGTTGTCTTTTTTCACTTTTATTTTAGATTATGAAACAGAAAGAAAGGCACCAAATCAAGGAAGACCTGCCAAAAAGATAGAAACAAAACCTGACAAGGTAGAGTATAAACATCTGTTTATTTCTAGATACTTTGAAAATCTCATTGCTATTTTCATAAAGTTGAAATTAAGCATACAGAACTGCTTCAAGAGGGTTAAGCTACATGTGTGTTAAAACGTCTTGAGCCATAAGGTAGCATCAAAAGGCTTTATTGTTGTTGTTGTCTTTCAGGTATTACATCCTCAGAGCTTTATAGCTAGAGAAAGCATAATTTGGTTAACGGGAGATAGAGAAATACAGGAACACAGCTGACAGAAACCTTCACATGGAAATTCACTAAGCTATAAGATGGAGTAGGGTGAAATGTTTTGACTTTGGATTCATTAGGCATGAATTTGAATATTGTCTCTGCTTCCAATTAGCTAGATAACCTTGGGCAAGTTATGAGTTTGTTTTCCCATCTCTAAGATGCAATACTTACATAAAGTAGTTTTGTTTTCTTTTTTTTTTTTGTAAAGATTTTATTTATTTATTTGACAGAGAGAGACACAGCGAGAACAGGAACACAAGCAGGGGGAGTGGGAGAGGGAGAAGCAGCCTTCCTGCTGAGCGGGGAGCCCGATGCGGGGCTCGATCCCAGGACCCTGGGATCATGACCTGAGCTGAAGGCAGACATTTAACTGAGCCACCCAGGCGCCCTTTACATAAAGTAGTTCTAAGAATGAAATAACCTAGGGGCAGCTGGGTGGCACAGTTGGTTAAGCATCCGACTCTTGGTTTCAGCTCAGGTCAGGATCTCAGGGTCCTGGGATTGAGCCCCGCATCAGATTCCACGTTCAGCATGGAGTCTGCTTGAGATTCTCTCTCTCCCTCTGCCCCCCTCATGCTGTCTCTCTTTCTCTCAAATAAATAAAATCTTTTAAAAATTTCTTTTTAATTTTTTTCTCTTTTTAAAGATTTAATTTACTTATTTGTCAGAGAGAGCACAAGCAGGCTGAGGGAGAGGCAGGCTCCCTGCTGAGCAAGGAGTCCAATGTGGGACTCAATCCCAGGACCCTGGGATCATGACCTGAGCTGAAGTCAGATGCTTAACAGACTGAGCCACCCAGGCGTCCCATGAAATAACCTAAATTTCTGATAGCATCTAGCACAGAGCCTAGTAGAGTCTTCAAAAAAGAGCCACCAATTTGAGGGCCCAATTCCTTGGCTTATGATCCACATTACAATTCCTTAACCTTAAAAATAAAAGTTCTGCCAGAATGTAAGAAACCTGGCTAAATTCTTATAAGAATCAAACCTAGCTCCTCCAAGGAAGGCAGTATAGGATGAATTCTTCACAAGCAAGCAGCTGGATCTCATAGTTCTTCCCTTAAGATTGATTTCCTCCTTATGGGTTAACCTAGGTTTTTACTTTCACTGCCATGTTGGCCTCAGGGACAATGTCACCCTTAAATTCTTGTCCAGGTTGAAATACTCTGGTTTCTGTTTACAAATTGTTGAAAATCAGAAACGTAGAAACTTCTAAAAATTATGTTTAAATGAGTGCATGAAATGGATGAGGGGGGTCAAAAGGTACAAACTTCCAGTTACAAAATAAATAAGTCCTGGGGATGTACTATATCCCATAATGACTGTAGTTAATAATTCTGTATTGCATGTTTGAAAGTTGCTAAGAGAGATCTTAAAGGTTCTCATCACAAGAAAAAAAATTCTATTAACTATGTATGGCGAAGGTTGTTAACTAGACTTATCGTGATCATTTCACAATATATACAAATATTGAATCATATACTTTTTTCTTTTTAAATATTTATTTATTTAACAGAGAGAGAGCAAGAGTGGGAACACAAGCAGGGGGAGTGGGAGAGGGAGAAGTAGGCTTCCCGCTGAGCAGGGAGCCCAATGCAGGGCTCAATCCCAAGACCCTGGGATCATGACCTGAGCCAAAGGCAGACGCTTAATGACTGAGCCACCCAGGCGCCCCTCATATTATATACTTATAACTAATATAATGTTATATGTTAATTATATCTCAAGTGAAAAAAAAAAACAAGTAATTAAATTGACTTGAAAAAGAAAATATGCTTCACATTTTATATGGTTCATCTAATTGTGTAACACTGAAAAATAGTTTTGCTCATATGACAAGGTTATTTATAATAATCCTAGATTATTTACAAAAAGGATTTGGTTCTTGACAATAGTAGTCATTTAAGAAACATTGGATTTCTGATTCTGAAACTACTGTAATTATTAGCATAATCTAAGTAAAAAGAGGTCTGTATTTGTTAGATTAATTAATTTTTTCCACCTTAGTTTTCCTATATTTTAATTTGTTGTGACACCTAAAACCTGTTATTTATTCCTATAATGAGGATTGGTTCTCTCTCTTTCTGGATCATAGCAATGGTTTAGTGTAGCTGGTCTTCTGATTCCTTGTATACATTTCATTGTATTTGTTTTTGTCTCTTTATGTTTGTGCGACATATATCTCAGCTTTCACATTTTCAGTCCTGTAAAAATTGTTCAAATATATACCCAGAAGAGGAATTCTCACTCTATTCTGTTTACTCACAACTAGGTTGTTTCTTTTAAAGTCAATAGTGAAGAAAATACTTTGGATTCACAAACCAGTGCAACAAATGGAATGGATCCAGATGGAGTCTTACAAAAAACGGAGAACTTACCTAAGACAAATACTGCAAAAATGAAAGGGAAGAATTCCTTCGCACCTCAGGATTTTATGTTTCAGCCCCTGGATGGTCTGAAGACCTATCAAGTAACACCTATGACTCCCAGAAGTGCCAATGCTTTCTTGACACCCAGTTATACCTGGACCCCTTTAAAAACCGAAGTGTAAGAATGTAATGTTAATAATGAATTTCTTGCGAAGATGGGTAACAAATGCCTTTCTTAGATTTAGTCTGCGCTTTTCAAAAGTTCTTATTTAAATAGTTAATTTAATTATATATCATGAAAATTTGGTTTTTAAAAAAAGTTCTTCAGAAGGCTACAATAATCTATTTGACAGTTTTGATATTTCTTATGCATTGTTACTAATATAATTTTCACGATACAATTTGTTTTATTGCTTTTAATAAGTGACTTTGTTATAACACTTAGAAATAAATTTTTAGAAAGAAGTAATTGCTATAATACTGTAGCTCAGACATGGGTTTTTGTTTGTTTGTGTTTTTTTGCTTAGAAAAATTACCTCTAAAGGCAAAATTGATTAACTTGCAAAGTGGAGGCTGGGGGCAGGTAGTGGGGATCATTTGGAATCTTTAAAAGGCAAGACTGTTTTGCAGACTAGCTGTTGGCAAACTGCTCAGCAGCAGCAAGACTATTAAGTGTTTCATTAAGAGATTTTCAAAATCTTTAGACCTCCTTACAATTAGTAAAGAGGGACATCCCCACTATATAGCTGTTTAAATTTTTCTGCCCTGGAATAGATATATTGTTTTTGAAATGAACATATTTCTGGGGGCACCTGGCTGGCTCACTCAGAAGAGCATGCAGCTCTGAATCTTGGGGTCGTGAGTTCAAGCCCCACATTGGGTGTAGACATTAAACAAACTTAAAAAAAAATTATACATTTCTATTTTTATTCCTGGTTTTTAAAAAGCAGTGTAATTTTGAAATCCTTCAATTAGATGTATAGGATTCATGCTTCATGAAATTTATTTTTGCTATTGTTTTTAGTGATAAGACTCAAGAAGTGACAGAAGAAATTTTGGCGCAAAAATATAAAACTTACTCTGCAAAGACAGTACATCAAGATTCAGATAAACTACAGTGTCCTTTGGGTTCTCTAACAGTTTCGAATAAAGGTATGGTATTTTAATTAAATTTTTACTTGCCTTCTGGATTGTGATTTATCAGAGATTTGCTTAGAGCCCCACAGGGTCAGAAGAAATGGGAAACGTGGGGAAAGACATCTGGACAGAGAGTTGGAATGAGAAAGCAGACTGAAGAAAGAGGGGAAATAAATACAAATTTGAAGAGATGAAATTATTGACACATTTTAGAGGAGATGTAAATGAAATCATTGAAGCAGAAATAAAATGTTAAAATTTAACAACAAAAGAATGGAAGGATTTTTAAAATTTGTCTTTTGTAGGGGATGTCATTTAAAAAATTGCTGCTTTGAAATTTACATGTGGTGTTTTCTTTGTAGAACATGTCTTAAATAAAGATGAGACTACTAAAATTTCAAATGGCCTTACAATAAAAGAAGTCCCATCACTTGAAATAAATGAAGATCAGATATCTCAGCCCCACCATGATGTGCCATATTTCAGGTTTGTCCATTTGTTCCTAGTGTAAGACTTTGTATTAATGTGTAGCTATTTGAAACCAAAATTAAACTATTTTAACCTTAATATAATAGATGAATTAGACTCTGGGTGATTTTCATTTATTTTTTAAAATTTAATTATTTTTTCAGTAGCTAGTATTTTCATTCATGTGGTTCTAATTTGAAAGGTAGAAAAAGGTACAAGTGAGAAGCCCTTTCTCAACTGTCTCCTAACTTCACAGTTCAAACCTTCCATGGAAGCAAGTGTTATTCATGCTTTGTGAAAACTTTCAGAGAGATAGATAACATATATATATATATAGACAGACATGGATATCTTTTCCTTTTTTTATACAAACAATAGCTTACTATTCTGTTTTCATTTAATGTTTATTGTGGGAGACATTCCATTTTAACACTTAAAGAGCTTTTTCATGTTGTTGTTTTGTTTGTGGGTATGGGTATGTGTGTCTGTTTAGTGACCATATAGTATCCAATTATGTAGATGTACCACAATTTACTTAGTAGTTGCTGGTTATTTATATTGAGTTGGGTCTTTTACTAATACACTCAAGCCTGTAAAGAACAACCTTGTATACTTTCCAATTCTCTCATGTGAAAATATGTCAGCAAGGTATGGGCAGTTCCTATTTTCTCATACTTCCCACCCCCCCACAAAAGAAACCAAGTTAATCTTTATTTTACAAAACAAGGATAGTGGGAGATGGTAGGAAGCTCTTTGGCCTACTAAATCATAAGATACGATTACTTTTCTCCAACTGTGAAGAGTGAAAATAAGCATCCTGTTTGGGGAACCTCAACTTTGTCCCCTATAGGCCTTGGAAACAAATCAGAGGACTGCATTTGGAGAAAGACTCCAACATTTCACATTACACAGGAAATGATTACATGCTGCTATTCTTTTTTTTTTTAAGCTTTTTATTGTGGAAAATTTAAAACCTATATGAAAGTGCAGGGACTTGTACACAACCCCCATCACTCATGGTCAGTCTTGTTTCCTATTTATTCCCACATACTTCTGACTCAAGATATTTTAAGAAAATCCCAGATAATCATATCACTTCATAAATATTTCTGTAGGTATTTTTCAAAGTTAAAGACTCCTATTAACATAACCATAATACTTATTGTGTTAACATAATCATAATTACTTAATGTCATAAAATATCCAGTCAGTATTTAAATTTTCCAAATTATAGTTCACGTGCAGGCATGCACACATACATATTTATGTACATGTTGTTATTCTTTCTCTCTTTTTTTTTTTTTTTTTGAGAGAGACTGAGCATGTGTGTAAGCAAGGGGCAGAGGGAGAGGGAGAGCGAGACTCTTAAGCAGGGTTCATCTCACAACCCCGAGATCATGACCTGAGCCGAAATCAAGAGTCAGACACTTAACTGACTGAGCCAGCCCCCATACTATTATTCTTTTTTTTTTCCCCCCAAGATTTTATTTATTTTTTTGACAGAGAGAGACAGCGAGAGAGGGAACACAAGCAAGGGGAGTGGGAGAGGGAGAAGCAGGCTTCCCGCCGAGCAGGGAGCCCAATGCAGGGCTCGATCCCAGGACCCTGGGACCGTGACCCGAGCCAAAGGCAGATGCTTAACAACTGAGCCACCCAGGCGCTCCCATACTATTATTCATGAATGAATGTAGGAAGAATATTCTCATACCTTTTCCAATACAATGTTAACAATTTTTTGAGCTTTGCCAATAAAGTAGATAAGAAATACTCTCTTGCCTGTAGTCTTAATATTTATTCTATTATGAATATCTTTTTGTATGTTTGAAAGCCACTTCAATTATTTTTAGGGCATGAAATTTTAGAATTGTAAAGGATTTTAGTGATTAGCTAATCCATTGTGTTTTCAACTATGAGACATTGAGATAAAAAGCAATTTACCCAACTAAATAATGTCAGATCTAAGCCGGGTCTCTTTTCTCATAAATTAATTCATCCTCTGTCATGCCATGAGATATAAATAGGTAAAGTTTTCTTTTAAGAAACAAAAACTATCCACAGTTTCTCCTGTGAGGTTGCTTTTTATAAAGAAACAGATTAAGTTTACCTTAGGCCAGTGTTTCTTAACCTTGGCACTATTGATATCTTAGACCAGATAATTGTTGTGGGGACCATCTTCTGCATTGTAGGTTGTTTGGTAACATCCTTGGCCAGTAGCGCTCCTCCAGTTCATGACACAGAAATGCCTCTAGACATTGACAGATGTGTCCGAGGGGACAAAATTGACCCCTCTTGAGAACCACTGCCTTTGGAGTAGCAAGCACAGCCTAAATAATTACAGAGAATCTGTAAGGCTCTATCACTGTAATTTCATACTTACAGTTTTTAGCTTCAGCTTACTCTTGAGAGTTGGGTTGATCTTAGTTCCATGGTCAATAACAGAGAACTAATAACAGAGAAGTAAGGAACATCTGATTCTGTAAAGTCTAAGACTGGAAGAAATTGGAAATATTAGTGTGAAAAGTGGGCTCTTAGCATTAACAATTTGCATAAGTTTTAGGTGTAGAAAGAGGGACACAGGGTATCAACTTGTATTTGTGGATTTTAATGAATCACAGTTCATAAAATCAGCATCAACTCTGAAAAATTAACATTATGACCATCTTTTATACCTTCCTAATGTTACGTGTGTCATAATGCTAATACTTAGGTATTAGTATGAGAAACATTTGTAAAACTGAAACGTATGTCCTAATTTTAGAAATATTCTTCAGTCAGAAACTGAGAAATTAACTTCGCACTGCCTTGAGTGGGACAGGAAGCTTGAATTGGACATTCCAGATGATGGTGAGGGAACATTTATATTTTTTTTGTTTTAGTTTTGGTTTTTTAAATATGGTTATATTTATCCAAAACAATGATCTAGGGTTGTCTAACTGAATTGGTTACATTGTTATTCAAAGCAGCAAGAATTTTTCATATCTCAACATGTTTGCTGCTATCTCTGTACTAAAATGGACATGATTTAAAAGATATAAGTAATTAGAATATTGATTGTTATTGCTGAAAATTAGACATTTGCCCATTATTAGATTGATATAACTATGAGTGACATCTGTAACTGGTATTGTCTAATTAAACAAAAATATTTTTCTGAATGAAAGTTACCTAAATCAATATGGAACAGATTTTCAGGGAAGTTCCTTAATCTTACTTATTTGGGGAAGCTGTTGAGAAAAAAAAATCATTTGTGTTTTATCAGTGTGAAGTGTTTCATAGATACTGATGTGTGATGGGTTGTTTGTGGTTGAATTCTTATTAAACACAAGGAAAGGTAGAGTGCTCTTGATTGTGCAGAAGTATGTATGAGAATGAATATTGCTAATTTTTAGCATGAATTGAAGCAGATAGTGAATGCTCAGTATTTGTAAAACAAAGTTTTGTAGTGATATTTTTTGTTTTACTAAGGTAAGAATTTGATTCTGTAAGCCCGAGGTATTTACGGTGAGGTCTTCTTATCATCTGGTGGGCTGGCAATAAAGGTCCAGTTTTGTCCTTTAACTTTTAAAAACCTCATATTTCCTTTAGCTAAAGATCTTATTCGCACAGCAGTTGGGCAAACAAGACTCCTTATGAAAGAAAGGTTCAAGCAGTTTGAAGGACTGGTGGACAATTGTGAATATAAACGAGGTGAAAAGGAGACTACCTGTACAGATCTGGATGGATTTTGGGATATGGTTAGTTTTCAGGTATGTGATCAAGCACTTTTAGTGTATTAACTCCGAGTAGGTCTTTTTGAAAAGGAGGTTAGCAAAAATAAAATGGGGGTAATGGGAGCTGCTTTTTAGGTACCTGTAATATTAAATGAGATATTAGATATTATTAAATGAAATATTAAAGATATTATCTTTATAAACTATAAAGCACTGTCTAAATTTTAAAGATTTATTTATTTATTTTAGAGAGAAAGAGAGCATGAGCAAGGTGGAGAGGGGTAGAGGGCAAGAGAATCTCAAGCAGACTCCCCGCTGAGCATGGAGCCTGTCATGGGGCTCAGTTTCATAACCCTGAGATCATGACCTGAGCCAAAACCAAGAGTTGGACACTTAACCAACTGAGCCACCATCACACCCCAGCACTGTCTAAATTTTATAACTGATGTCCACCTCTTCTCCATGTTGTCAGGATGAATTCTATATGGTTTGGAAATTGAGATTATATTCAACTGTTGCATAGACTAGGATGACTCTACATGTGAGAAAAATGAGCAAATTTAGTCTTTACTAGTTCAGATCATCTAGCAATTATTGAGTTCTTAATGTGTGCCAGGCATTGTACCAGGGGTTGAAAAATAAGGCACATTCTCTCTCCCAGAGAAGTTTGTAGCTTATTACAAGTCAGACACAACATATAATTTCTTTCTTTCTTTTTTTTTTTTTTTAAAGATTTTATTTATTTATTTGAGACAGAGAGAATGAGAGAGAGAGAGCACATGAGAGGGGGGAGGGTCAGAGGGAGAAGCAGACTCCCTGCCGAGCAGGGAGCCCGATGCGGGACTCGATCCCGGGACTCCAGGATCGTGACCTGAGCCGAAGGCAGTCGCTTAACCAACTGAGCCACCCAGGCGCCCACAACATATAATTTCACTCTAATGTACAAAATGCTATGATAGTGGGAATCACTAGGAAGATCAGGAAAGGTATGGGAGGAGATGACACTTCCTAGCTTTTTGATCTTGTTTTAGAGATGAACATATAAAATACTATTTCAGGAACTAGTAGCCAATAATCATTAGACATTTGATAAAAGCTTCAAATCTGGGGGGAGAAAATAAGTCAAAGCAACCCAGGAAGAAAGCTTTTTTGGAAGGAGGAAATGAGGATAATAAAGGAGAAAAGAACTTTTAAATGCAAGTGTTAATATTCTCAAAGAAACCAGACATTTCATCTGCCAAATAAGAACAGCTATTAAAAAAAGAACATTCCAAGAACAACAAAAATTGCTCTTTGAAGTTAAAAACCATGAGAGCAGATATGTAAGATTCAATAGAAAGATGGAATATGAAGTTAAGATACTCCGTAAAATGGGAGAGATGTAAAATAAGAGAGACTGCATAAGAAATAGATAAGAAGATTAAGTGGACCAGTCTGCAAAATATAATATCCAAATAATAGGAATTCCAGAAAAAGAGAATAGAAAAAATAGCAGAGAGGAAATGATCAATTAAATAGTTTAAAATTTTCCTCAGAATTGGAGGACCTGAATTCCAGATTGAAGGAGCCCATTGAGTGCCTAGCACTGTGAATCAGAGTAGACCCACACCAATGCACATTATTAAATATGATTGTACAACTTTAGGGATGAAGAGAAAAATCTAGAAACTTCCAGGGAGAAAAAAAACAAGTTTTTAAAAAAAAATTTTATTGTTATGTTAATCACCATACATCACATCATTAGTTTTTGATATAGTGTTCCATGATTCATTGTTTGTGTATAACACCCAGTGCTCCATGCAGAACGTGCCCTCTTTAATACCCATCACCAGGCTAACCCATCCTCCCACCCAAAAAAAAACAAGTTTTATACAAAGGGTCAAGAATCAAAATAGCCTTGGATTTCTCAACAGAAACGCTGAAAGCTGAGAGAAAAATGCCCTCAAACCTCTGAGGGAAAATAACTTCCAACCTGGAGTTTTGTACCCAGCCAATCACATGTGAGGGTGAAAAGGCACTTTTTAGACACCCAACATCTCAAATTTTACCTCCCATGTTCCCTTTCTTAGGAAACCAAGTGAGAATGTATCTCACAAAAATGAGGGAGTAAACCAAGAAGCAGGAGGAGGTGGGACTGATCCCCAGATGGGGGCTAAGGGAATGGGGCTGAGGTGAGTTGAGGTGTGCGGTTAGGAAGCAGTAGTTGAGGTTGGAGCAGGAGGATACAGGGCTCTGTGAGATTGGTCTCTGTGAAGCTGACCTAAATATAATACCTGATTTGTTTGCTTTTTAAATTGTGTTAAGAGGAGGTTTATATAGACTTGAGAGGTGAATTGATGATAGATACATAGAAGCTAAGCAAATAAAAAGCAAAAACGATTCAGTAGAGAAAAAGTGAAGGAAACATAATAATGTCCAATGCTGTACAGCCCGGATGTGAATTGTGTTTAGGTAGTCATGATGATGTGTTGCTTTATGACAGTTTTTATATATTTACCAATTTTCATAATGAGTTGGTTCGCTACCATCCTTCAATAGTGACCAATTAGTTTTGTGTTTTTTAGTGTTATTAATGGATAGATTTGAAGGTTTTTGATGTGTTTGTATTGTTTACATTTATCATCTGTTGATGATCATTTCCCAACTTTGGCTGTTGGGAGACTTTTCAAGTTGGCTCCTGGGACCTCTTTTTTTTTTTTTCTTTAAGAGCTGTTTTCAGGTTTCATCTAATATAAAATTTACCAGTTCTAAATGCACAATTCAGTGAGTTTCAGTAAATTGACAGAGTTGTTCAACCAGTGCCACAATCCAAATGTACAGTATTTTCAGCATAAAAAGATCTTCTTGCCTATGTGCAAGTCAATCCCCATTCCCACTCCCAACCCCAAGCAACTCACTCTTTGTGGATTTGCCTTTTCTGGACATTTCATATTAAATAGAATAATACAATATATAGCCTTTTTTTTTTTTTTTTAAATATATAGCCTTTCATATGTGGCTTCTTTCATGTAGCATGATGTTTTCGAGGTTCCTCCCTGTTGTAACATGTATCTGTACTTTGTTGCCTTTCATTGCTGAGTAGTATTTCATTGTATAAATACATCACTCTCTAGTCATCAGCGGAGGGACACTTGGATTGTTTTCACTTTGGTGATGATGAATAATCTGTGAATATTCACATACAAATCTTAGGGTGGACATTTGTTTTCATTTCTCTTGGGGTAAATAGATATTGCTGGGACATATAGTAAATTTACATTTAGCTTTTTAAGAAACTGCCAAGCTATTTTCCAAAGTGATTATATGACATTTTACTTTCCCATCAACACGTATGAGTTTTCCTAGCACTCCCTATCTTCACCAGTATTTGCTATTGTCTAGGAGAGCCATCCTAGTGGGTGCAAAGTATTTGTTGTAGTTTTGATTTCCGTTTCTCTAATGAATAATGATGTTAATGATCTTTTCATGTGTTTATTAGCCATTTGTATGTCTTCTTTGGTGAAATTTCTATTTAAATCTTTTGGTCATTTGGGTTTGTCTTTTTTTATTGAGTTGTAACTGTTCTTTATTCTGGATTCTTTATTCTGTCTTTTATCAGAAGTATTATTTGCAAATATTTTTTCCCTAGTTTGTGGCTTATTTTTCTTAATGGTGTCTTTTGAAGTGTAACTGTTTTAATTTTGATGGTGTTCAATTTATCAATTTTTTTCTTCTGTATTGTGATTTTTGGCATCATGTCTAAGAACTCTTTTTGCCTAATGTCAGCTCACAAAGATTTTCCTATTTTTTCTTCTAAAAGTATTGCAGTTTTAGTTCCACAGTTAGGTATCTGATTCATTTGGAATTCATTTTTGTGTATGATATAGTTAAAGAGTTCATCTTTTTTCTTGTGGATATCCAATTTTCCCAGCACAGTTGAAGACTATTTAGTTTCCTCATTGAATTGCATTGATACATTTGTTGAACATCAGTTGGTCATAAGTGTAATCCTGAGTCTTTCTGGAATTTACATTTTTTCAGGAGAGAAATTGAGAGTACATATGTGTATAAATGAATAGTAGGGGAATGTGAAGCATGTTTGCTAAACTGTTGACAGTGGTTACTTCTTTGGAGGAGATTGGAAATACTAGACGGATGAGGATCATACACTGACATCAATGACTCCATCTTTGGCCCTCCATCTTGTTCGTGCCCTCGTGATGACCTCCCCCCGGGCTATGTGTTCCAGCCCCTGGAGGTTAATGTCAGCCCCAACTGGAATGAGGGAAGCTTGTTCTGATCTTCCCTAAAGTGGCGCACAGAAGGCACCACTTCAGATATCTAGTAGAGATGAGGATCATACCAGAAGGATAAGGATCATACATTCTCATCCTGCTAGTAGATATATTACTTGAATCTTTTAAAATGACATTGTGTCAAGAGAATGAGAAGGCAAGCCAGACTGAGAGAAAGCATTTGCAAAAGACATTGTGTTTTAAAAAAAAAAAAAAAGACATATTGTGCTCTGTGTTCACATTGTATAATTTAGGAAACAAAAACATCTAGAATATCTCCTACATTTTATTTATTTTTTAAAAGATTTTTTTAAAAATTTATTTATTTGACAGAGAGAGACACAGCAAGAGAGGGAACACAAGCAGGAGGAGTGGGAGAGGGAGAAGCAGGCTTCCCACCGAGCAGGGAGCCTGATGCGGGGCTCGATAGGCGCCCCTATCTCCGACATTTTAATGGTCAAAAATAAATTAGGAGTGTTCTTCATATTTGACCCTCTTTATGTAGATTGTGGAAGCTTGTAAAACCAAAAATAACAGTGAGCAATTTTACCATAAGAATTCTTTTTTTGGGGGGACGCCTGGGTGGCTCAAATGGTTGAGCGTCTGCCTTCGGCTGAGGTCATGATCCCTGAGTCCTGGGATCGAGCCCTTCATTGGCTCCCTGCTCCATGGGGAGCCTGCTTCTCCCTCTGCCTGCCACTCCCCCTGCTTGTGCTCTCTCTCTGTCAAATAAATAAATAAAATCCTTAAAAAAGAAAAAAAAAAGCTTGATTTGAATACTAAATTGAGAATGACTTAGTCTAATTTATATGCCACCAGTCCAAGTCACCATTCTCGATTTTTATTGAAGCTTAAATTCATTAGCTTTTCATTTTAATAAAGTTAGCTTTAATCTGATAAACTTGTGCTTTATTTATTAACAGATAGAAGATGTAAACCAAAAATTCAACAATTTGACCAAACTTGAGGAATCTGGATGGCAGAACAATAATAATATAAGTAAAAAAGTTGTTCGGGTAAGTTTGTGGTTTTATATCCAAATTTCTAATACAGACTCTTCTACTTTAACAAATTTTTATTTTTAAGCTTTAAAAATATTTAGCTTCAGATCTTTCATCTTTTTACAAATAAAGTTCCATATATTACTTAAAATGTCCTGATTGCCTTTGAAGAAAGAATAAGGAAATGGTCAAAACTAAATTTAGTGTTATTTCTGGAGAGAGGAGGGGCTGTAATTGAATTGAGACACCTAGCAGGCTTCTAAGTTACTAAACAGTGGGTATCTGCATGTTTGTTTTATACTTCAAACTGTGCATCTCCATTTTGTTGTAATTATAATAGTAGTACTACATAATTTATATAATGTGTAGTCTGTGCCAAGTTCTGTTCCATGTTTTTACTTGTATAAACTCATTTAATCATCACAACAATCCTGTGAAGTGGGTTCTGTTCTCCCCATTTTACAGTTGAGGAAACTGACATCCAGAAATCACTTGCCAAAGGGGGAGCTGGCTTTCAAGGCCAGACTTTCTCATTCTAGAATCTGTGTTCTTAATCAGTAGGCTCTGCCACCTCTCCGTTTTATATACTCTTTTGAGTGATTTATTTCAAAATGAAAAAATTGAATAGAGAGGAACAATCTCTCTTTAGAACATCTATCTTCTTCCCTATGCTTTATCTTATAAATTTTCTTATTTTCTCTGTAAAATTTGCTTTGTTAACATGATAAGATTCCATTCTTGTCTGTTTGTTTCTAGTAATATTTGAACTCAAAAGTTTTTGGTCAGATGAATGCTTCTCAAACCACCTTACAGTGTTGCCAGTTTTTCTTTATATTTTAGAAAAATACCTTTGGTTGTAGAATCAGATTTCTAAATTTGTGCTTTATTCTTATGTAATCCAAGTAAGATCTGTTTTAAATCCTATCGTAGGAGTTTAAGATGACAGAATATTAAAAGAACCTATTACAGCGTCATTTTGTGACGAAATTAAATGAATGGATTTCAGATCTGTTAAACAGTGAAGACTGCTGGAACATTCTGAAGCCACTGTGGGTATTTCTTATTGAGTACCTGGTCGTGGAAACATAATGTCATCAGTGCTGCAGATAATGGCTGTCAGTACAGCATTCGGTCAGAGCCTTGTAATTCCGTCCCTTATCACCAGGTGTCTCTCTCTCCTCTTACTTTATTCTACAGGCTATTGTTAAGATTACGGAACAAATAAACTAAAACTATTACCTATACTTGATACCCTTACCTCTGACCTCTTATTCATTGATCTCTCATTCCATCGGTTAGCCTTGTTTTCTCCTTTGCCCTCTCTTTTCCATCAGTTTTTAGACATGTTTAAGGGTCTTATCTTTGTTTCCATTAAAGAAAAAAACAACTTGTGATGTTCCCTACTCCCAATCACAGACAAGCTTCCAGAAAAAGTTGTCTATACTCTGTTGCTACTATTTTGGTTCTCGCTTATCTCTCCAACTCACTGCAATTCAGCTTCACCCCTCTCTTTGCCTCTAGAACAGTTATCACCAAGGGTATTGATTCTCTAGTTGCTGAATTATTAGATACTTATAAAATCCAATCCCTCTGCAGGATTAAACATGGCTGAGTCCCTCCTTCTTAAAATTATATTCTGATTTTCCTCCTGCCTCTGTGCCCATTCTTCAGTCATGTTTGCAGTTTGTTTTTCCATTTATCCCTTATATGTTTGTGATATTCACATTCCTACCTCAACTCTATTTTTTCCTTCCACATTCTCCCTGTACAGTCTTACCCATCCTGTGATGAGTCCTAAATCTGTATTTCAAACCACACTTACTGCTAAGCTCTAGGTTTATATATCCTGACTCCATGTACCTTAAAATCAGTATGTCCCAAACTGAAGTCATCTGCACACACATCACTGTTTCTGTCTCAGAGAATGGTATTGGCATCTCACTAGGTGTCCAAGGTAGAAACCTGGCTATCTTCTTTAGTCCTTTCTCTGTTTCACCATCTCTACCCCACACACATCCAATAGATTGCTAAGTCCTCTCAATTTGCCCCCTTAAATATCTCTTGAAGCCTTTCTTGTTTTTCCATTTTTCCTCCTTAATCTAACTGCTGTCATCTTTTTCCAGTATCAGTGCAGTAGTCTCCTTCCTAACTGGCTTATAACCCTCCAGTCGCTTCTCTGGGCTGTAGACAGAATGACTTTCCTGAATCACAAAGCTGATAATGTTAATCTCCTGGTTAAAAATCATGTATAAGCTCTATTCCTTTGTCCTCTGTATAAATGTAGAAATGGTTACCTGCAAGGGATTTTATAATCTAGCTGTTGCTTACCTCCTCCCAGCTCCTCTGCAATTTCTTTCGCTTCCGGCTTTGCAAATACGCTGTTCTCTGCACCCAGTCCTGTCCTCACTCCATCTTCTAGCTTGGCTAACAGTGATTCCAGCTCAGGGGCTACCTCCTGTCAGCCTTTCTCGATAACTCTGAAGATTGATTTAGGTGATAGCCTTGTGTTCTCTCATAGCCGTCTGATTTTGTCTGTATCATGACATTTATTATTCTTAGTGTCTATATCTAGCCCTTCCGTAAGCTGTGAAGTCCTCGAGGGCAGGGGCTTTGTCCTTTACCTTTTGGCCCCCAGCATTTTTAGCACATACAAGGAATCTGATTAGTGTATGATGAATGTGTTAAATATTTTTTGTATGCTTTGTTTTTCTTGTAAGATGATAACAAGTAGCTTTAATACATGTCATAATTTCTCTTTGCAGAAGAAAGTGGTCTCAGGGGTAGCAAGTAAGCCCAAACAGGATGATGGTGGAAGAATTGCAGCTAGAAATCGCCTCGCGGCCATAAAAAATGCAATGAGAGAGAGGATGAAGCAGGAAGAAACTGCGGAGGCAGCGACCTTTGTAATGCCAAAGGAAGTTGATAAAATAGTGTTTGATGCTGGATTTTTCAGAATCGAAAGTCCTGTTAAATCCTTCTCAGGTTAGTTTTTCTGCTAAGACTCCTTGAGAGAAATATTTGGGTTGGATGGGAGCTTGTATAAGAGGTCAAAAATAGTTTTCATATGAAGACCTACAAACTCTCTGAGTCTGGAAAATAGACTACATACTCACTCACATACAAGGCATGTGTGGATGTGTATGATTAGATTACTTTAAGTGTGCTGTATCTTCTAAAATGGCTCTTATATTTTCTAAGCGATTTCACGTCTGTTACTACCACTTAACCCCACAATACTGTGAGGTAGGTCACAGGGTCCCAAGAGGTAAGGCACATGATGGAAGCATGAGAAGTTAGGTGGTTTTCTTCAGGTTAGTTAGTTGGATTGGAATTTAAGATGCAAAGCATTTCAGGCATCAAACCCTCGCCCTGCTTTAGTTGTGCTTTAAAATGAAGCTTATGGAAAGTGGAGTTTGGTTTAATTTTCATTTGTATTTAAAACGTCTGCTCAGATTTTATGAGACACAGTAAATGTACTAATTTCCTGATTTAAAAATATTCCAGTGAAACCAGCTTTTAATACTTCAAGAAACCATTCTTCTTATGATTTTCTAACTGATTTCTAACTCTGATCTTCTTATGATTTTTCTTTTTTTTTTTAAAGATTTTATTTATATTTATTTGACACAGAGAGACACAGCGAGAGAGGGAACACAAGCAGGGGGAGTGGGAGAGGGAGAAGCACGCTTCCCGCGGAGCAGGGAGCCCGATGCGGGACTCGATCCCAGGACCCTGGGATCATGACCTGAGCCGAAGGCAGACGCTTAACAACGGAGCCACCCAGGCGCCCTCTTAATGATTTTTCAATAGCTATTTGTCATAGGTTGTCTTTATTAGATTGAATTTCTATATATATATGAAAATTATTTATTTATAAGCCCTGTGATGAGAGGTCATAGCTGAAGTAATCTCTTCTGTAAATCTCGGTGGACGCTTCTATCAGTGCTTTAAGTGCTAGATGTTTGTTTTCAAGGAGAAAGGGGCCAAGTCCTCTTCAGGTACCTATCAGCTGAACGAATATTTTTTCCCTATTATTTAACTGTGTCCACGGGGAAATTTTCTGAACATAAACTTGAGCTGCTATCCAGTATTTACATTAAAATGTAAATTTATCACCTCAACTATATTATAACCTTCCTGTCAGTTTAGCTATCACATCTGGTGTGGTCTGGTTTGTATTCTTTACTCTAAGCAGCTGCTTTTCCTACGAACCCAGGAATTGCCTCCTGCTAGTAACATGGTTCCTTGCTGCTAACTTCCCAAGGAACTCATTGCCGCTATTCTTTCATGTACCCGACTTGGCCTTTAGGACTGGGGAGATTAAGGTTTATGGTCCAAATCTATCTTGTTAAAACTGAGTTTTAGTTCCAGAGCACATGGTTTGTATGAGGCTTGTTACAGAGCAGAAGTCCCCCAAGAAGCCCCTCTCACCCCATTTGTCACTCCCTAGAGGCAACCACTTCTTTTTTTTAAGATTGATTTTATTTATTTATTTATTTATTTATTTATTTGATAGAGACACAGCGAGAGAGGGAGCACAAGAGGGAGAAGCAGGCTTCCCGCCAAGCAGGGAGTCCAATGCGGGGCTCGATCCCAGGATCCTGGAATCACGACCTGAGCTGAAGGCAGATGCCCAATGACTGAGCCACCCAGGCACCCCTACTTTTCTTTTTTTTTTTAAGGTTTTATTTATTTGTCAGAGAGAGAGAGAAAGTACACAAGCAGGGGAGTGGCAGGCAGAGAGGGAGAAGCAGGCTCCCTGCTGTGCAGGGAGCCCGGATGCAGGACTCCATCCCAGGACCCCGGGATCATGACCTGAGCCGAAGGCAGACGCTTACCGACTGAGCCACCCAGGCGCCCCAACCACTTTTAGTTCTTAGAGGAGTCTTGGAGTCTTGAGATGTTCGACTGTGTAGATTTTTTTTTTTTTCCTCAGGTTGTGTAGATTTTTGTGTGTGTGTGAATTGTTCCTTGGATTTACTCTCCTTAGTCGGTCCTCTCTATCTTTTCAGAAACATCTATTTTATTTTTTTCCTGGTAAATAGACTATTTGCATAATTTTTCCTGTACTTGTTTTTTACTTCCTTATTTCCTCAACTTTCATGTTGGCTCTCATGGTTGTTGTTTTTATTTTTTAGTTTTGCTCTCATGGTTTAAATTCCCAAGAGCTCTTTCTCATTCTCAGAATGTTCCATTTTATAACATTCTGTACTAGTTTGGTAAGTGCACTGTCTTACCTTTCTGAGGATGTTAATGATAGCTTTTATGTTTTCTTTCCCCTGTACAGTCAGTATTTGTTCCAAGAAACTTTCATTTGTTTGGTTTTGGTTTCCATCTCTTGTTTTGGAGGCTTTCTTTGGGTGTCTGGTGATCATTCACTGCCTGCTTGTGGTTAAGAACAGGTCTCTGCCCAGCAGCATGTGGGTAATGGGGGCTTTACTATGGGGTGATTTAGTTGTGCCATAGTGCTAGGAATCTATATCACTATATTTAATTCTTTTTTTTTTAATTTTATTTTATTATGTTATGTTAATCACCATACTTTACAAATTAGTTTTTGATGTAGTGTTCCATGATTCATTGTTTGCGTATAACACCCAGTGCTCCATTCAATACATGCCCTCTTTAATACCCATCACCAGGCTATTTAATTCTTTTCTTATGGGCTAGCCGGGTTCCCCAGAAAAGATTCGTCCAGTCTGCTGCCTGGAGAATATAATTCTGGCTGTCAGCCTTTCAGGAGCCAGGTGGGAGGGAAAAAACTAAACATCTCAACAGTTTGTTTGTGATCCCCTTTTTTCCATATAGTACCAATCTCTCAACCTTACCTGGTATCCCTTAAGCCAGGGACCTTCTCTTTCACCTTTTCATAAAATAAACCTCTCTAGATTTCTGGTTTGGGTGGTGGTTGGGGGGCGGGGTGGTGGCATGTTGACAGGTTGCAAAATGAGGAAAGGGCTCCATTTGTTCTTTAAACTGACTTTGAACCGATCTTCCTGTTTTTAGCTCCCTTTTCATCTCTGCTTCCAGACATACTTGAGGACACCAATTCTTTTGAAGGGTGCTGTGTTATAAATCGGGTTAATTCTCCTCTTTCCTAACTGGTGACTGGTGGCTTAGAAATTATTTTCTGGGGTCTACTAAATATTATCCCACTCACTCATCTACATTACAACTTCCAAAATTCTTTGTTTATTATTGTCTCTTTTTTTAGTTCCCTTTGTCCAAATTTAAAAAGCTGAGTAGGAGCGCCTGGGTGGTTCAGTCAGTTAAGTGTCTGCCTTCGGCTCAGATCATTATCTCAGGGTCCTGGGATTGAGCCCTATGTCGAGCTCCCTGCTCAGAGGGGACTCTGCTTCTCCCTCTGCCCCACCCCCTCCAGCTAGTGTGCACAAACTCTTTCTCTCTCAAATAAGTAAATAAATAAAATCTTTTAAAAAAATTAAAAGCTGCTGAGTAAAAAAAAGGGGGGCACTCTTTGTCCTTGTAACGTTCTGCCTTTTAAGATGATCTCTTTTACTGCTTATAGTAGTGGGATGTTAAGAGGAAACAATCTCATGTGTGTGTTCAATACTATCTTGAACTGAAAGTCACAGGCATTTTTCTTTAAAAAACATATTATGGAAGAAGCTAGTTGGTAGGGTAATAGGAAGAACTTGCACTGTCTTCCTGGATATAATGAAAAGTGAATGAAAGAACTTTTTGATATTGAGATGATTTCTCTCATCTTCTAGGAGTTTCTATCTCTTCTGAACGTCTTTCTCAAAGACTTAGGACACCTAAGTCTGTCAGCAAAGCTGTGTCTGAGAGCAGGGCTGAGATGGACCATCTAAGACAAACTATGTCATCACAGAATCCTGATCCTCAAAGTACCAAAAGTGAGCATGTTGATAAGGAGACTTTGCTTTCAACTATTCCTAAAAACAGGTATTTCTTTCATGTGTTGTTATTAAGAGTGTAACAGATGCTGGGGTGCTTGGGTGGCTAAGTGTCCAACTCTTGGTTTAGACTCAGGTCATGATCCCACGTGTGGTGGGATCCAGCCCCTGCATCAGGCTCTGTGCTCAGTAGAGTCCGCTTGAGGATTTTCTCCCTCTGCCCACTCATACACGTGCACAGACGCGTGCACTCTCTTTCTCTCTAAAAATAAGTAATTAAGTCTTTAAAAAAAAGCATAACAGATGCTGACATTAAATATCATTTCGGATTGTTAGCCTGGTAAAATATGGAAGACCTATATTTTTAATTAGATTTCACAATGACCCTGTAATGTGTAAGAAATGCTTCTATTTTCTAAATGAGAGAATTAAGGCTTACAATTTCATATTGATTATTGGTTATATTTAGGTGTGCAAAGTAAATTCTCCAGAACTAAGAAGAAAAGAAACAATACAATGTTGTTTGGTGCTAAACACAATACAACTTTGGTGCTTGGCAGGTCTGAGTTCAAAACCAGTTCTATGGCATACTAGCTGTGAAACTTTGGGACTTTAATTAACTCACTTAGCTTCAGGTTCATCATTTACGAAACAGCAGTGCCAATACTTCCCTACAGGGTCCTTGAGAGGTAGGCACTTTTGTACCAGCCTCTATTGAAAATGCCTTGAGATTGCTATCTTGCATAAATAAGGGAGAGCTTATGTGTACTGAAGAATTATGCGCTAGACATGGTTCTAGGTTATGAACAGGTATTATCTCATTTCATCTTCAAAACAACCCTGTGAGGTACTAGATGCCCATTTTTCAAGTGAGAAGACTTGAAAAGTTAGTGACTTACCCATTTTCAGCTTATAATTGGTAAAACTGGATGCTGCCTCTATTCTTTCTGCTGCAGAGGACTGCCTCTGCACAAATGCACCAGAATTTTCTATACAGTCCTTGTTCCTGGAACATAAATGTACCAGGAATCTGATAGGAAAAAGATACTTTAAGGTAAGTAGAAAATAAAATTGTAGTCTGGAGCCAAGAGAAGACTATTGGTTTTATTATTAATCTGGAGATGGGATAGCATTGAATACTCCGTCATTATAGCAAAGAAGGTTGTCAAAAAAATAAAAGAACACTTTATGAATTGAAATAGAGGAAACAAATGAAAGTTTATGCTCTTAAATATTTTATGGAACAAATTTTAAAATTTCAAATTTTTAGTATAAACCAAGGTATATTTAGCCTTTGTGAGAACTAAATATTTTAGATATTCTAGAAATATCTGGATGATAAAATACCAATTTATTGTCATTTCTTAAATGCCAGTTGCTTTACTTTATATATATCCTCTAGTTTATTATCTTGTGCTAAGATCCATAATTATATTTAAAAGATACTATAAGTATTCTTTAAAATTTTTTTACTTAATTCCCAAAAATAGTCATGAAAGAGCATCTTACACATAACTTTGTGCAGTGAAGGTGAAGTGGAGTTGAAAACTAGAAAAATAGGATATTTAAAAAAAAAAAAATGACTTGCAAGGGTTGAGACAGGTATTTTTAATGAAATAAAGTTACAGACTTCAAGATTAGAATATGTTAAGCTATAACTAACAAGTAATGTAGTCAACTCCAGCTACACAATAACTGAGTTGTTAACTTTGACCCCCCAGGAGTTGGCTTTATTCTAACCTTTCCCTACTGTGTATATAGCTCTGGATTTGGCGAGATTCAAAAGATTGCTGGTGGACTGAGCAGCATGGTAACAGGCTGTGAACTTTCTGGGGAAGAGTTTATCTAGTCTTGCTGCTATAGCTGTAGTCCAAAACTAACTTCTTTGGACCAGGTCTGATCTTGGACCAGGCTCCATCTTTGACCCATGAAGGATAATATTAAAACACAAGTAAAAAGATAGCAGTATGTTTAATTATCTGATTATCTACTTTTTTCTTTTTTAGGAACAACATAGAAGATGCTCAGTGTCCTGGATTACAAGATTTAATTGAAGTAAATTATGTAAGCCCTACGCCAGTATAGTAGATAACAATTTATGTGGTTATATGTAGTAACTCCATAAACAACTCCCAGAATTTCCATTGGAAATCTAAACCAGTCATTAAAATGATACTTCTTGTTTTATTTATTTATTTTTTAAAGATTTTATTTATTTATTTGTCAGAGAGAGAAAGAGCACAAGCAGGGGGAGTGGCAGGCAGAGGGAGAAGCAGGTTCCCCGCTGAGCAAGGAACCTGATGTGGGACTCGATCCCGGGACCCTGGGATCATGACCTGAGCTGAAGGCAGATGCTTAACCGACTGAGCCACCCAGGCGTCCCGACACTTCTTGTTTTAAAGGCCTTTGTCTTGTTTGAAACCATAGTGCCATTTTGTGTTCTTTAACTCACATCAAGATTATTTTTTTAAATAAAGTTTTATTATAACACAGCCATACTTATGTATTATATCTGGCTGCTTTGCAATACAGTGGTACAGTTGAGTAGTTGTGGCCAAGATTCTGTGGTTCACAAAGCCTAAAATATTTAGCATCTGGCCCTTCACAAAAAAATGTTTGCCAGTCACTGAACTGGAATATCATAGATACTTGCTGAGAAGCTTTCCTTCAATCATACCATTGCTATAATACTCTTTGAACTAATTGTTCAAGAAGCAAGATAGTAAGATTTACAGTGTTCTTTAGCCTGTGTTCAGAATGTCATTCTACTGTTTTTATTTTTAATTGCAACAAGACTTTTTTCTATTTTTTCCAATTTTTGGTAATTAAATGTAAAAACATTTTTTACTTTCAGGATGCAAACAAGATAAACTTTGAGATGGATTGTTTACCCAGTGAAAGAATGAATTTGCCTCTACTTGCTGGTGAAGTGGCAGATGATATTAATACTAATAAAAAGGAAGAAATTCCAGATGTTGTAGAAGGAATGGAACTACATTCTTTAGTTACAGCACAGGATGTTTTGATGAGCAGCCCTGAAAATATACCATCACAAAATGACATCTTACAGGAAGAGAAGACTAAAATTTCTCAGTCAGGTGAGGTCTTTTAAATTTATTTAGATGAGGCTCTGTTAAATAAATGAACTTGGACTAAAACATAGATTATTGTGAATACTTCTGGGTACCAGTTTCTAAGAGTAAAGGTTGAAAAATTGGGCATTCACAAGAAATACCTTCTAAGAATCAGTACATGTTATATAGTATCCCACTGTCCTCCTCAGACCTTTGGAAGTATACCTGTTAAACTTATTAATGGCTACTAATCCATGTTGGAAATAAGTAGCATTTTACATTAGACCTATTTGGATTCTTCATTGTTTGTGAAAATTCAGAGAAATTCCCCGAAGTTTATTTTTTTAGTTTACCTCTTTGTCGACACACATCCTCAAAGCTTTCTTTAAGATGCCCTATTTTTCTTTCATAATGCCTTTTCCAATCTACTTTGTTGTGATTGTTCTGCAATAGGAAATGGCTCTTGGACTTTTGTTATAGTATAATGTGTGATAGTTTCGCCTACTATTTTCATCTGCTACTCAGTGGTGCTGTTCTGGCTGGGGACTAAGGCAAAATAAACTGTAACCTTGGCCAGACATTTAATGTACTCCAGCTGTGTTCTTCACCTAGCATCTTTGGGGTACCTTTTTTTTCCAACCTTAGTATATTACCTGTTTATTATAAAAGGATATAACTCAGAAATAACCATGTGAAAGAGATGCATAGGCCAAGGTATGGGGAAAGGATACAGAGCTTCCATACCTTCCAAATGCACCACTCTCCCCAAATCTCCACATATTCACCAACCTGGATACTCATGGTACCTTTAATATTGCAAGCATGAGATTTGTTTATAGAAGACTCTTTTTATACTGAATTTCAGGATGAGAATTTTAATTAAAAAAAATTTAAGTACATTTTAAAAAATGCTATAGCATGAAGCACCTGGGTGGCTCAGTCGGTTAAGCGTCTGCCTTCGGCTCAGGTCATGATCCCAGGGTCCCGGGATTGAATCTGGCATTGGGCTCCCTGTTCAACGGAGAGTCTGCTTCTCCTTCTGCCCCCATCCCTGCTCGTGCCCCCCCTCGCAAAAATTAATTAATTAAATCAATCTTAAAAAAAATTTTTTTTTAAATGCTATAGCATAAGATGACCTATATTTTTGTCTTAGCATTTCGTAGGGAGCTTTTCATCATTTTTGTCCATTTCTAACAACCCTTGACTGCAAGGATATTTAAAAAGGTAAAAGTTGGGGTTTTTTGTTTTGTTTTGTTTTGTTTTTTCAGTATTTGATATTAAAAGTCTCACTACTGAATGCCATCTTCTTGATTCGGTAAGTTTTCCAACTTAATTTGAAAAATTGCTTTATATTCTAGATCTGTTTTATAAAATGATTTATTCACTTTTCAGTTTGTGTACAAAGTTGGTTTAAAATTTACATGTTATTTACTATGAAATCCATTTGTTACTCATTTTTCTCAAAATGGGAAAAAATATCATGTTTATAAACTTTAAAATATAGCATGTTTTAATACTACATTCTGAAGATTTATTTCCCTATATAATTTAGGTATCAAATTTGTTATGACATATTGGTTGAATACTTAAATATCTAATTGTAGCTTAGGTTATGCTAGGTATCGCTAAGTGATGTAAGAAAAAATAAGGCAAGGTTTCTGCCTTTAGAAACGTGCAGTTGGGAAGATAACGTCTATCCTACCTTCAGTCATCACTGGTTATTTTCATTTTAATTCTTTTGGATTACTATATCTATATACATAGATATATAGATATGTCCTAGTATTTTATTTGGAGGCTCCCCAGCTTTACTTTTGGTGACCTCTTGCCTCTACATCTAGTTCAAACCTTAGCCCTTCTGTGAGGCCTTCCTGGAAAAGCTCTCATCTCTCCCATATTAATTTATATATAGATATATATATCTATGTGCACAATGCACACACTTATTATCTCTTATTAGGAATATAATATGAATATGTTATATTCCTAAAACATAATTTTAGGAATCTCTTTCCCTTATTGTCTGTAAATTCCTCTCTAGGCAGAGCTGTCTGATTCATATTGGTGGATGGGGGCACTGTGGCATGAATGAAATAGTGCTCTCTTGTCTACTCTTAACAGCACTGCTTTTCAGCCCTACCCCCAGATATTTTTATTTCAGCAGTCTGGAGTAAGACCTTTATCAGGTGATTCTAATGTGTAGCCAGTTTGACAACCCTGGTTTATAGCCTTACCTTGAAATTTTCCAGAGCCAATTGCTAAAATGGGTCAGGAAATGGCCTTGGTTTGCTAATCTTTGATCTCAGAATATAAAAAATTCATTAAGGCAAATGTAGGATAAAAGCAATAATTTTTGTTAACCTCATAAAGCCTGGCAAATGCTTGGCTTCCTTAAGCCACTAATTCCTTAAGGACCTCTGTATATGTTGGCTTTCGTTATTTTCATTATTTTCAAAGCCACTAATTCCTTAAGGACCTCTATATATGTTGGCTTCTCTTCATGTCCAGGCTTCTGGGCTGCCTGTGTCTCAGGAGCAGAATGAAGTGTGTCAGTGTGACCTGTAGTCTGCTTTCTTGATCTTAGAGTCAGGGATTTCAGCCTAAGGCCAATTGATATAAATCTGATTTAATCCTGTTCTCAGATCTGAACTCTGAATGCTTGGTTCTGATAATATAGGATATTCCAAATAAATTTGGAATGTAATATATCGTAACATTTTGTTTTATACTAATATTATGATTAAAAGTATTTCAGTTATCTTATACATTATCTAGTTGACAAGTCTTGGTATTCCCTATGAATTCTTTTCCACTTTCATAAATATTAGAACTCAGACTTTTTAATTTTATTTTTTGTAGGTCCACCTGTCTATTTTAGAACCAAATTATTACTTGCTTCTATAGCATCACTTGAACCTGAAATAGGGCTGGAGGGGGAACAAAGAAAAGGATCCGAGTAGGATCACATTAGTAAAAAGCCTAGTAAGTGAGTTATATGGATTAGGATTTGTGGAATCTGTGTAAATGGCTTAAGATATGGTCTTAATTTTATTCATCCTACATATACTGCTGAAGTCAATTTACATATTACTAGTCACCTTTAAGGCATTATGTGCCTAATACAACTTTTCAATTAAAAAAAAGTATATATTTGAAATTAGATCCACTGGTAAGTAGCAAACTCATTGTGCTATTAATAGTTTTATTACTATATATAGAAATTTATGTTATTAATTAACCTACTATTAACTTGCAGTGTTGAAGGCTCAATTGGTGAAACCCTTGATTTAGTGACTTCTCTGAATTTATTCTCTAGCCAGGCCTAAACTGCAGTAATACATTCACTCAGGTGGAGAGGAGACATCAAGATCATGACAGACACATTTCCTTTGGTGGTAACTTGATTACCTTTTCACCTCTAAGGCCCCTCCATGATGAACAACCAGAAGAATTTTGAATTTAAAAATAAATCCACATATTTTTCTTCATATTATCAATGTGATATATTGTTAGCATATTGAAAATTGAAGAGTATGTATTTGTGTTCACTTCTAGTTAATTTATATAGTATCATAAAATGTTTTAATATTCAGTGTTCATCGAAGTGTGTTTTAGATATGATAGTGTTTCTCGAGGGAAGTGGGGATATTTTGTACATTAACTATGCAGAATAAAAAGTGTACTTTACCTCACCTCTCTTGTTTAAAATGTATAAACTTAAAGCTAAGTGTACTTAGAGCTTATGAACATTCTTCAGTTTAATCAAAATATAGTATTAAACTTTGACAGAAATATTTGCATCTTTTTATATTCTCTTAGTTTGGACTCTTAAATTTGTTGATATTGAACAGCTTTGCATATTGCATTTTTCAGAGTATACTGAGTTTCTTTTTTTTTTTTTTTTTTTAAAGATTTTATTTATTTGACAGAGAGAGACACAGCGAGAGAGGGAACACAAGCAGGGGGAGTGGGAGAGGGAGAAGCAGGCTTCCTGCTGAGCAGGAAGCCCGATGCAGGGCTTGATCCCAGGACCCCGGGATCATGACCTGAGCTGAAGGCAGACGCTTAACGACTGAGCCACCCAGGTGCCCCTATACTGAGTTTCTTTAAATGAGCTTTCTGGAATCTGAAGTTGTTTACATGCTGCAGTTTCAAAAGGTTAAACGGTTAGAGGGGCCCATTAAATCTTTGCCTTTTTCTTTTCATTTTCCCCTTGACAAAACTGACAGCCTTAGAAGGAAATGCCTTCTTCCCTTGAAAAGAATTGTATCAATCACTTAATGTGTTTGAAATATTTTCTCTTTTATAAAACTCTTAATTATAGGATTGTAGAAGACAGGGCCATAATAGCACCAAGAAGACTTGTAGAAGCTAACGCTTATAACCAGACCTGGGTCCAGTTATTTCTTCCTCTAAATGAGTTAGGGTTGGAGGCATTCACCAAACAAGCAGCAGCTTTATAAACGTGTAAGATTAGAGGTTTTCAAAAAGAAAAGAAGACACATCCACTTTTGTTGTCAGAGAAAGGTATGTTAGGCTTGTGGGAAAGATAGTATTATCAAGCCCATATGAGCAGTTAGGCTATGTGAGGTGCTGGCTTAGAAGAATGTTCTCAGAATACCTAATCTTACCAAAAGATAAAAGCAGCTTTAACAGCCCATTAATGAATAATTCAAGCAAGACATGCAGAACAAAGAAACATACGTAAAAGTTAGGGTTTTCTAAGGGCCCATGCATATGAGCATGCAAAAGAAGTTGGTGCAGAGAAACCCAAAGACTTAGAATATAGATAAAGCAATATACAACAAAACAATAAAATAATATTTGCCCTCAAGGATAAAGCAAATGAGAATAAAGACAGTATCAGTAAACATGATTTTTTTGTGGGTTTAATAAGATGTACTGTTGACTTGTTCAGAGAACTTTTGTCTGTTTAGTGATAGTAGAGTGAACTCAAACTGGCTTAATAACAGGGAAGTTTATTATTTGCACAAGTTGCCAGGGTGATTCCAAGCACTTTCCAATCAACAGCTCCATGATGGTATCAAGGTCCAAAATTACATTCATAGTTTCTGTCATCCTTGCCGTTGGCTTCTCCGTGGCTGGATCCTTTTGGGGTCATATATTGTTAGTGTGTTGAAAATTGAAGAGTATGTATTTGTGTTCACTTCTATTCAATCAATTTATATAGTGTCATAAAATGTTTTAATATTCAGTGTTCATCAAAGTGTGTTTTAGATATGACAGTGTTTCTTGAGGGAAGTGGGGATATTTTGACTATCCATTTGATATGGTCTTTAATCAGGATCCCTTATTTTATCTAGGATTATACTTAAATAAAACCATGACTATTAGGAAACAGGGAATGGATGGCTAAGCAGCCATCAGTATACCCTACATCTAGATAGTGTTCTTAGGCTATTGGACTCTAGAATTACGAGGTTTTAGAAAAATCTTTAAAGATACAGGAAAGAATATTGCTTCGCAGAACAAATGCCTTTCCAAAAATGAAACCAAAAAAAATTTCCATTTGTTGAGGACCTCCTATATGGCAAGCCCTTTGTAAACAATATTTATTCAATGATCACAGTAACCCTACAAAAGGTGTATTATACCACCATTTTATAGACAAAGGAACCAAGGCTCAGGATTTAAATAATTTTGTGTAAACCAAGTTCCCCCTTTTTATCATAGCTTATGTTTTTCCACTTAATCATAGGTGTGGAAGAGTCAAGATGAGAATGTTGGAGTAAGGAAGTAACATAGTTTTTTGAAATAAACTGCTCACATCCCTCTTTAGGACTGAAAGTCTTTTTAATTGCTACAAGTGCTGTTAGATGGCTTTCAGAAATCATTTCCACGTGACAACTACCTCAGGGGAAGACAGCCGCTCCTCCCGAGGTCATACCGTTTCTCAGGTGGCTTGTATTCGTTGACTGATTGAAGTGAAGACAGAAAGGACTGTCCCCCCTCTTGACAGCTCCAAAGGATCATCCCGGCTTCAGAACCCCTGTAGGGTGGGCTGAGGCATCGATACCCAACTTCTCCCTCTGCCCGATCCTGTGCCTTCTCATCCCAACAGCTGTTGATCTCAAGATTCTTCCCCCTAAACCACTTGGGTTCTAATCTCTGCTTCCTGGGGAACCCAACTTGTGACAATAAAAGTATCTGAGAAGATGGTGTTATAGAAACAATAAATAGACCAAACAATATTTTGATTCTTTTATAAAGTGAAGTGCTATGACTACATCCTAGTTTTGAAATTGTATGAATCTTTGGGCCTGCTGGTAATGAGGAAGGGCAGAAAGGCATGGTTAAGAATGTTGGCAATGGGGCGCCTGGGTGGCTCAGTTGGTTAAGCGACTGCCTTCGGCTCAGGTCACGATCCTGGAGTCCCGGGATCGAGTCCCGCATCGGGCTCCCTGCTCGGCAGGGAGTCTGCTTCTCCCTCTGACCCTCCTCCCTCTCCTGCTCTCTGTCTCTCATTCTCTCTCTCTCTCTCAAAAAATAAATAAAATCTTAAAAAAAAAAAAAAAGTTTAAAAAAAAAAAAAGAATGTTGGCAATGGGAACTATTAAATTTTTCAAGCTGATGATATATCTAATTAAGAGCTTAATTTTCCTCTATAAATATGATGGAGATTTCATAAAAACCAGGAGAACCTACAGCAAGATTGTCTCATATTGGTATCAAATATGGATTTGAAAACAGCTAAGTATAGTCTAGAGAGAAAAAATAGTTAAAAGGAGCAAAAAGAAATATACCAGAATGCTAACAGTAACTGCCTGTGGATCATCAACAGCTACACTTTTTCTTTGTGCTTTTCTCATATCCTGAATATATACTTCCTTAAGTAAGAAAATGGGGGAATGATTTCCTTGTAGCATCTTCTGGTTTTTATGAAACTCTGAAAGAGGTTAAAATAGTATTTTCTTTAAAAGTAATAAGTATAGAAAACTCTGGGAGACTAATGTAGAATTAATATTGCTACATATTCCTTTTTCACTGAGTCCATTGTGCATTATCAAGAATAAATTGCCCCAATTCAATGACATATAAAGACAGGAAACTCTTAGAATGTTTATTAAATGGATGATTTACAGGACGGACAGTGATGAATAAAGGTAAAATTTTTCAGTCAGGAAACATGAAGTTTCAATGTGTAAGGGTTTATATTCAATTTCTTTTTTTTTTAAATCTTCCCCTTTATGATTATATCATAGCATGTGAAGCACTGGTGAGATCTATGTCACCAGAAATTCCCAGTTTGCTGATTTCCTGGAGATTTTTCATCCGATGATTGTACTGCAACAAGTGAGCATCGTTGACCGCAACCTTGAAGTGGTCAGATTCAACCAGCACTTGTATCTGAAATGGCACATACACAAAACTGTTAGAAATGCTCATTAATTTCAAAACCAGTCTGGCCTGAGCTGAGAATGTCCCACATTTCATCTTTATGATCATCTGTGGAACTGACTGAAGTTCCAAGAAAGGAACTTTGGGGGCGCCTGCATGGCTTAGTTGTTAAGTGTCTGCCTTCAGCTCAGGTCATGATCCCAGGGTCCTGGGATCAAGTCCCACATCAGGTTCCTTGCTCAGTGGGGAGCCTGCTTCTCTCCCACTGCCCCTAACCCCTGCTTGTGCTCTCACTCTTCTCTCTCAAAAAAAAAAAAAATTTTTGCAGCAAAAATAAACTCCACAGATTATTCAAAGATTCAAGCAAAATGAAAAAAAGATAACAGATGATAAAGATAAGGTGAAGCTATAAAGGTAAAGATTAATAATGTGTCTCCATAAAAACAAAGTTTTTGTATGGCTAACACCTAAAAGTAAAAATATAAACACACCAAGTGCTGGCAAAGACGTAGAGAAAAAGGAACACTCACGCATTGTTGGTGGGAATGTAAATTGGTGCAGCCACTTTGGAAAACAGTATGGAGGTTCCTCAAAAAATTAAAGATAGAAATACTATATGATCTAGTAATTCCACTACTGGGTAAGTACCCAAAGAAAATGAAAACGCTAGTTTGAGAAGATATACGCAACCCTATGTTTACTGCAGCATTATTTATAATAGCCAAGATATGGAAGCAATGCAAGTGTGGATCCATAGACAAATAGATAAAGAAGATGTGGTATCTACACATATACCCCCCCCCACACACACACACGCAATGGGATATTACTCAGCCATAAAAATGAGATTTTGCCACTTGCAACAACATGGATAGACCTACAGGATGTTATGCTAAATGAAGTAAGTCAGAGAGACAAATTCCATGATTTACTTATATGTGGAATCTAAAAAAAAAATCAAAGAAATAAATGAACAAAAAGCAGAAACAGACCCATAAATACAAAGAACAAACTGATGGTGCCAGAAGGGAGGCGGGTACAGGGATGGGCAAAATGGCTGAAGGGGAGTGGGAGGTACAGGCTTCCAGTTATGGGATGTAAGTCATGGGGTAAAAGGCACTATGAGCATAGGGAATATAGTCAGTAGTATTGTAATAGTGTTGTATAGTGACCGATGTAAGCATAGCATAACAAAGAGATGATGATCTCTATGTTGTACACCTGAAACTAATGCAACATCCTGTGTTAGCTGTACTTCAATAAATAAATGAAAGTAGAATACTAAAGTAGGAATCCTCTACAGAGTGGCAAATGTTGCGAAAATTGATAATGACCAGTTTGGGCCAGAGTAGGGGAAACACTCTTCCAACAGGTAGTAGTGAACATGTTTATCCTTACAGCATGTTGGAAGCAGCACTTTGGCAATATCTTATCTAAATTTTCAATATGTATATTCTTGAGGGGCGCCTGGGTGGCTCAGTCAGTTAAGCGTCTGCCTTTGGCTCTGGTCATGATCTCAGGGTCCTGGGATCGAGTCCCACATTGGGCTCCCTGCTCAGTGGGGAGTCTTCTTCCCCCTCTGCCCGTACCCCCACCCCCCCTTGTGTTTTTCTCTCTCTCTCTGTCTCAAACAAAATCTTTTAAAAAAATATGTACTTCTTGGAATAAAATTCTTGTTCTAGGAAGCAAAGATTTATAAGGACCATTATTACAGTATTTTAGTAAAATAAATAAACCTTTCAGGTTTTATTTGTTTGGAATATTTCCATACTCCAAATTATCATCCATAGGGCACTCACAGAATTAGCACATATCTAAGCAATGAAATACTATTAAGTAACAATGTTCTAATGTGAGAAGATATCCACCAAATATAGAATATGGTCCCTATAAGTCCCTGCCCTTGAGGAGCTTATAGTCTAGTTGTTTCATTGCCCACTATACTGTCAAGCTAACCCAGCACTGTGGACCTAGTATTTGTTAAAGCAGTGCTTAAAAATAAAAAGGGTGTTGGGACAGTTGGTAGAGCATGTGACTCTTGATCTTGGGGTCATTGGTTCAGGGGTAGAGGTTACTTAATAAATAAGTTTTTAAAATAAATAGTGCTGTAGGTCACAGAAAATACTGGAAAGATGTTAACCAAGTTGCAACCTCTGTGAGGTTGGGAGAAAGGGGAAAAGATGGAGGTCTTTTTAATTTGAAAATCTATAAAAAATTTCTTCATAAAACGTCTCAATTTTAGAATTTAAAAAAAAATTAGCTTTGATTGCAATGCCAGCTATGCTGTATTAAGGTACTAAGTCTCAGCCCAACTGGACCATTGAGACCGTCTGTCCTTTTTTTTTCTTTTTTAAGTACACCCAGCGTGGAGCCCAACATGGGACTTGAACTCACGACCCTGAGATCAAGACCTGAGCAGAAATCAAGAGTCAGACACTTAACTGAGCCACATAGGCACCCCCTTCTGCCTTCTTTATTAAAGATGCTATTTTCCTCATTTCCAGAAAAGCTTAAACTCAGAGGTGTGGTAACAGGGACAATGGTGAAGGGTGGGAATGGGGCTGGGGAGTGTGCCAGTCCTGTTGAGCCTGGTTCCCTGGGATGGGGAGCAGATGTACCCGTTAGGTGTCCCAGGATAGCGGATAAATTCTTTTCAAGTGCCTTATGGTTATAAGAGTGATTCCCATGAGAAATATCCATTATCAATATATAATAGTAGCAATAACTTACTTTAAATGGTTTACCACTTTCAAATGGGAAAGTTGCCTGTCTTTCTTCCTTTCCCCAGATGTTATCCAACTTTGTATTGCAAACAATGACTCTCTTGTTGTCCTCACTGAAGCGTGGGTTAAAGTGGAAAGCAACATCATTCCCTCTCTTGAAATCTAAAGCAAGTCTGTTTTAAACCAAAGACCAGAGTTAGTAAAATGATTCAAGCTGTACGTTTGTATCAAGTGAAGAACATACAATTTTCTAAAGATCCAATCATTTTTTATAAAATACAGGAACATTTTCAAACGGAAGCAAACAAACCAGAGTATGTCTTCAAACTGGAAAGTATACGAGGCCTAGTATTTGATGTATTCTTGTAGTATCTGAAAGTAAGCAAGGTAGTCGTGTTCCATTTTTTTGCCTCCTTGTCTTTGGTCACATCACTCCATTCAGCTGTCATTCCCTCTTTAACTGCCTCTACTATGAAAACTCGTCAAGGTTTCCTTATAGAAGTTTAGGGCCACTTTGAGGGCACTTTATGCTGTACATGGCAAATAATAATGCTTACCTCTTTCCTGCCCTGCCAGTTACTTTTAATACCTATTAAAGGTAAGTCAGTCACATCAATAGAAGTTATCAAATACCTGGCTTCCTTATAGTTAACCAAAAACCTAGTCCTAAAATAACAGGAATGAGATAACATAATGTTCAGTGTCCTGTTGCTAAGTTGTAACGTCATGGCAATAAATGTGTTAAACATTCCCTGATGTGAATTAATGGAAGTGCCGGCTTAAATTTTTGACCTTGTTCCTTCTCCTTGGATGTTAATGCAAACACAAGGCCTTGGACTGTTAAAGTATTAACACTATCTCTCAGTTTCTCAAAGTGTGCTCCCTGGAGCACTAACATCAGAATCAACCGGGACTCTTGTTTGAAAGCAAGGTCTACACCCTAGACTTATTAACAATGATTCCTTGAGCATTTTCATTTACCCATTAACAGACACATAAAACCACAAATGTATCTTCCAATAATTAAATGCCCAGGGAGAGGACCAATATAATCAGATGACAATAGCATTTGTATTTGACCAAAAAAATCCAATGGCTGTGTTTTTCTCTACAGTGAAAAGGAAGATCTTGCCATCTTTACCACTTTAAGCATTCTTTTTTTGTCAGGTAATTCCCCACAAAGATTTTGCAGAATGAAGCAACCATTTTTTCAGTTTACTACCATCTTACCCATTTCCACCAAAATGAGTGTTAATCTGCCACAGTCTCTGTCTACACCTCTAGTGTTACTGGAGATAAAGTTTCTAGTGCAAAAACACTCAATAAGGCAAACACACCAGTGTGGTTCTGTATGACCGTGGCTAAGGGAGGAGAGCAGATACTCACAAATCGTGCCCAGGCTCAGGTGTGCTGGGTTCTATGTTATTTGGGGAGGAAAGATGGATAAGGGCATAGGCAGGGGATATATACATTTTGTAATGGGCTGTGAGACAAGCTTTATTGTGCAGGTAAGCACTGTGTTTAGAGAAGCTGTATAGGCTGTGTGGAAAGAAGAAGGGGCTTAGGGTACTGGCTACCACACAGAACCAGAGAAGGCTGGCTGGAGGTACGCGTGAATGGGCTGGCTGAATGTAAAATGACTATATCAGAGGCTGAGTCCATTTCCTGGTAACAGAAGAGGGGGTTCCCACTGATCCACCAGGAGCAAGGTGACAGACACAGGTTGTTTATGGATTCTTGTAAACCTGTGTACATAGCTTGAATTTGTACCTTTTGTGCACTGTCTATAAAACCCCAAAACACGGATTAATTTATGGCTGCAGCAGGGGCTTTAATGGTACCACCAACCTCAGGGACAGGCATACTGGATGTCTTCAGGATATCCTTAACCTGCTTGTATTACATGGAAATAAAACCAATGGTGATAACAGACCCAGGCATCCCAAGGCAGCCATAAGTCAGCACGGCTTTTCCTAAATTAGCTCAGAGGCTCACTCCATCTTAGCTCACCTCTATCAAACCAGTTCCAATGGCAAAGGTTGACTTCTTTTGAGGAAGTCTTTAACTTGTAGGATCTTTTCAAATCTTTATGTAAATTGTATATACTCAGAAGACTGGGGTTCCCCCATCCCGCC